ATTTGCGACAGAGGGAGTAGCTAAGATAAAAGTAAATTGTGAAAATTTTAATATATATATATATATATATATAGTATTTTGTTGTGACAAATGGAATTGACTATGCATCTTATATATTTATTATAAGTTGGTATATATTTATTATAAGTTGGTATGAAATGATTAAACTTTAAAATTAAATATATTAATTAATTGGTATCCAGTAACTAACAAAAAAATTATTATATTAAAAAATAATAGGGATAATAAAATAAAAAGACAGCCAATCAATGTCATGAAATTTGGCCTCTTAGAGACTTTTTTATTATTATTAAGACTAAAATTAAGGTTTCTTTCATTGTAGTCTCTATATAAATTTTATAATATTTTAACTTTATATTTTGTTTTTATTAGATATAAAAAAAATATTTATCCTAAAAAAAAGGGCTTATTTTCCTTTTAGTAAGAAAATTATACTTACTTTTTACTATTTTTTCTAGTTTTTAATATTAAAATATATATAATAAATTAAAATTCATACTAAAAATAAATAAATATATTTTTCGATAAAAGAAAAAATATTTTTCTCATAAAATATTATATTTGTATCAAAACTAAAAATATCTAATAATGAGAAAATTGGAGTTGTAGATTCCGTCCTTTTTATAAAGTGTGTGTTTGTTTGGGGATTTTTCCCCCAATACACTATTCATCTCATTTTTTTCTCTAAAAAAATATCAAATTAAATACCTATTTTTTATTTTTATATTATACTAAAAATAAATTTTACATTTAAAACATCGCATCAACACTTATTTATATCACATCATACAACTATTTAAATTCAAAATTTTTATTATTCAAATCCCAATTCAAAATTCAAACTCCCAAACAAACATACCCAAAAAGTTAAAAACTAGTATTTAATATAATATTTTGTGAGAAAAAAATATATTTAATATAATATTTTTTACAAATGAATAATACCAAAGTTTATAATGTAAACAAAGCCATAATTTTATTAAAAATATATTACTCCCTCCGTCCCACATAATTTATCTCTATTTTCTATTTTCGTCCGTCCCACATAACTTATCATTTCTATTTTTGAAAATATAATTATGCACTTTAATCGTATTTTAAATTTTAAATTTTATAATTTTTTTCTTAATTTTAATTAAACTATTTACTTATTTTAATCTTAATCTATAATTATTTTTACTAAATAATAATTATTTTTATTAATACACTTCTTAATTACTTACTAATTATACTTTATTTAAATTTTCGTATCTACAGTGATACACCCATATTACATAGGACCGAGGGAGTAATATTATTTTTCAAATAAATAATAATCAATAAATTATAAACAATGATAGGTGTAGACACGAACAATTTTAGTAAGATCCAAAATGGAACCACCATCCACATGATTGACACGTCAGAACGTGCGAATTTACAGATTTGGCCCCACCACCTTTCCGACAATTGGAGATGGAATCTGTCCATCGTATCATTAGTCATTTGTATGGCCATGCCCATGCATGCAAATTATTCTGTAATTGACCGGGCCGGGCCGGACCGGACCGGACCGGGCCCCAAAACTCACATCATATATATCTTTATCTTATATAGTGTACTAATATATATGAACCACACATTTTAATTACTAATATATATATATATATATTTTAATTCGAAATAATTATGTCATATATATATATATATATATTTTTTCAATGGTATAAAATTTTGACTTAATTTCATATTTTGCGAGGGATTCTTAATTAATCATTTGGAAATTGCAATGGAATTTATAATCCGTCGCTAATTTTTCATGTAAATTTTTAAGGAATTACTATGTTTTTAAAAAATTCATTGGATATTTGTGAAATATTCATTGTAAGGCCATTAAAGCACGACTCGTCGTTTTATCCATTGCAAAATTCGTCGTAATTTATAAAGGATACACGATCCCTTACAAATTGGTATTGAAAAAAGATTATTTTTTTTTCTTTTTTTTTTAAGTGCGATGGGAAAATTGCTAAAAAATCGTAAACTATATCAATTTGTATAAAACATTAACATAAATCCTATTAAAAAAAAAAACATCACATTAAATATTCAAATTTAATTTCTAGAATTAACACATTAATATAATTCATCAACAATAGCTTTTTAAAAATATATTATTACCATTATGAGAAAATATAAAGAAAACAAATAAAGAACACAGAAGTTTCGGTGACGGTGTGTGTTAACCTATGTCCACAGGTAGGAATCGAAGAGATTTTATTATACTGATTCAAAGAGTTACAATTATATCATACGACTAGGAACCATAGCTATCTATTTATAAGCCCTCAAAATACCCTAAATCATAAGTCTATTTGTTATTAATTAAGATAAGCCCAAAAGGTACCCTATCAATTGAAACAGTCTTTTTGATTTAATTTCGAATCGGATAGACCGCTAAATTCAAGTTACGGGTCAACAATTATATATATTTTTTACAAAATATTTTATTATATATATTTTACTATTTTAAATTATTATTATTATTATTATTATTTCAAAGAGCTCTATTAAAACGAGGCTTTAATTTCAACTAAAACCAAACACAATACTAGACAACAACAAAAGTGAAAAACCTCTAAAATTGATGTATCCAACCTTCCAAATTTGTTTCTCTCGAATTCGAAACATAATAATCTGAGATCACGTTAAATGATGTAAATAATCGTTTTACCTCAAAGTTTAAATTATTAAAAATAAATACTCCTCAAAACAATAGTCTCATTTCCATAAATAACTATATCACCGTAAAACTATTTCTATTTTTTCATTATTATTACACAATTGCCACTATTTTTTACACTAATATACTCACATGGGCAAAAAATTCATTTATCCATACTTTTTACTAACTACCAATATAATATCAATATTTCTTAAATATCGTGTCCAACACAATAAATTGTACTTTTGGGATGGAGGGAGTATAACTTATTTATTTATTTATTTACAAACAAAAATTTACCCACAAATCTATACTCACTTTCCTTTTTGGGTTGTCATTGAAAAATATTCTCGTTTTCTTTTTAAGTAAAAAATTATTATATTTTTGTACTTTTTTTACTATAAAAGAAAAAAATAACAATTATTACTCACTTGTATTAAAACTAAAACTCGTGTCGGATCAAATGAACATATATTTAGACGACGGAGTGAGTATTTGGTTTGTTTAAACATCGTAATCGGAAGGTGTCACATCGCATACCTGCAAATCTAATTTTGGGGAAAATAAAACCTCCTCAACCTCAAAAAATAAATTTGCAACTTTTAATTATTGATTTTGATTCGAATGCCTATATCAATCTTTGCATTAATTGGATCTATTAATATGTCTGACCAATAAATTATTTGTATTTTCATTTTTGCATTTCATCAGAATTATTTTATTATTGAATTTTGATGGTTCTATTTATATACACAGTTTTAATTTTGTTTACTACTAATTATTTATAATAATTTTTTTTTTTTTTCCAAAAGACTGTCATATTAAATAACAATTTTATACTAACTCTATTTTTTTTTCAAAATTCTAAAATTCTAAAAGTTTCAATCTAAACAAAATCTATAATTATTTTTTTAAAAATTTAAATTAAAAAATCTAAAACAAAACAAAGCAGAAAAAGTAACCATTTCACATGCATCTTAGCCCTCAATATAAATTTAATAAAAATATATTTTTTTCGTTTCATTTTAGTGTGATTGTTTGGGGAATTAGATTGGATTTATACTATTCATTCAATTTTTTGCCCAAAAAATATCAAATTAAACACCTATTTTTTATTTTTTTATATTGTACTAAAAATAAATTTTACATTCAAAACATCACATCAACACCTATTTATATCACATCGTACAACTATTCAAATTCAAAATTTTTCTATTCAAATCTCAACTCAAAATCCAAACTCCCAAACAAACACAATTGTCTTACAAATACAAAAATTTATAGAAATTATAATTAATAAATAATTAAATATATATATATATATTAGTAAATATAAATACTATATAATACAAATAATTATAAATTAAAAATTTAAGATTAAGATAATTAAGGGTGTGTTTGTTTGGGGTTTGAATTTTGAGTTAGATTTGAATAGTAAAAAATTGGAATTGTAATAGTTATATGATGTGATATAAATAAGTATTGATGTGATATTTTGAATGTAAAATTAATTTTTAATACAATATAAAAAATAAAAAATATGTATTTGATTTGATATTTTTGGGGGAAAAAAATTGATGAATAGTAAATCTTTGGGGAATTCTCCCAAACGAACATACCTTAAATAAATTTGATTAAAATTTTAAAAATTATATATTATGAAATTTAAAATGTGCTTATATAATTATTTTTAATAAAATAAAAGAGATAAATTATATAGAACAAATAAAAATAAAAATATGTACAAATTATATAAAAAATAAAGTATTATTTCCATTCACTTCTAAGGATTTTTGTCATACAAATTAAAAAATAATAGTATTAATTGATAGTATTAGTTATGTAAAAATATTTATACCTTTAATAAAAAAAAGTATTATTTTCTCGGTCATACTTACTATATCTACATATTGTCTTTTATGTGCGTTATATTTTATGTCATTTTTAAAAAAATAATTATACATTTTAATTCTATTTTTAAAAAAATATTAATTTATAATATTTTTTAAATTTTAACTATAATTATTTATATTATAAAATAATTATTTTTACTAATATATTTTTAATTATTTAATAATTATAGTTATAATAGATGTTAAGTTAAACGTAACATTTTATATTTTTGAAAAAGTTTTATTTAGTTTGATTTGTGTTTTGAATTTATTTAATGTTATTAATAAAGTATATTAAATTAAAATATTATTATTTTTTTTTTTTTTTTGAGTTTTCGAGATTTTCAATAAATATCTTTTTACATATTTTAATCCGATATTTTTATACATGTAGAAATATCATTTATTCGATGTAGCGATAGATAGTTGTCACTTATCACTGCCTTCCTTCCCTTCAGTATCGATCTCTCGGCCTTCGATCCACCGCCGCCTTCGTCTCTGCGCGGATCTGATTTTGCGCCGCAGGTTAGCTTTGATGTCGATTTCTGTAATGTCATTATGTGAAATCGATTTGTTGCTTCAGAACTGTGGATTAGAAATTTAGAACTGAAATTGTTTTGGTTTCCAGATCTACATTGGATTTTTTCGAGTGTGATTTACCACTGGTATTAATGGCGCTATAGCTCGACTGATTTCGATTTCCTTGATTGTGCATTTAACCTTTATTAGTGTGGCGTTTCTTTCTGTGTGTGTTAACCGATCTGTTGCTGCTTCGATTGTCGATTCGTCTGTCTATTTTAGATTTTTGTTGCTTGTGCTGTGGATTTTATGAACTTGATTATGCCTTACGATTACGCAATTCGCTTGAAGATCTGAGATCCTTTGGTTAATATAATATCATTACTTATTCTATTGATTAGATCCAATTTTATATGGCTTATATGAATTCATTCCTTTGTAAGCAAACTTAGGATCTGCTTTCCGATGTATAGGATTTGAATTCTTTTGTATGAAGAATCTGTTTCAGATGCATGTTTTGAGTGAAAATTGGTTGTGGATGTGATCTTCTGAACTAAAACTGGATTTGTAGATGCGATGATTTTAGGAAGATAAAAATATGAACAATGCGAAAAACAATGTTTATAATACAAAAGCATAACTAAGTACCAAATTAAAGTTTTGCTTACTTACTGCTCTTTGTGGATTCAAATCAATGAATCTTAATGTGATCAAGATATTCACAAATCTGATCTGCTAACAAATTTGAATGCTGCAATTTTAATAGATAATGGGTCGCGGAGTTAGTTACGGTGGAGGCCAGAGTTCTCTAGGCTACCTTTTTGGTAGCTCTGAAGCAACTCCTCCAAAACCTGCTGCAAACAATGCCGCTGCTCCTCCCGAAAAATCAGCTCCAGCAGCACCATCTGTTGATGCTACTAAGCAGATTCCTGCCGGGATCCCGGGAAGCCAAAACAACAATTATCACCGAGCCGATGGCCAGAACACCGGCAACTTTCTCACTGTAAGTGAATGCTGTATTGTTAAGGCTTTTTATTTGATATGTGCATCTGGTGATGATAATTATCTCCTTGTTAGATCGATACCTTGCCTCGACATGATTATAGATTTGTTTTCTTGAAATTGAACATTTTCAGGTTTGTTAGGTTTGCATTTCAAATCAGTTTTTTTACTATGGAACTTGCATAGTTCACGATTAAAATATATTATTTTTTCTCATAAAACGTCACATCAAGCTGTCATGGTGGTTTGTATTTCCATTAACTTCATGTTAACCTTCCCTATGTGAGAGTGAGATTTGTGACGAGCAATGCCATCATTGAAATGGATTAGTTATTTTATGTGTTAACTTGTATTATTATGGATTACTTATATTCGATTGTTTTTTATATTACTTTTCTGGATGAAAAGTACGCTCATATTGATGTTTCTTTTATCGGATAAAGTAAATTCGTTGTAGATTGTATAGTGCGAAAATGGATATTAAAACATAAGTAACTACACTCTTTTTTTTTTTTTAAAATAGTCGTTCTTCTTGTTTTATAAAATGACTTATCTCGACATCTGCAATATATTTTCACTTTGATCGGTTTGTGCTGTTCTGTTTGCTCTGTTTTTGCATCAAACTTACACACGACACGACACTTTTGTTTTTTTTTTTTTTTTTTTTATGACAGGATCGACCATCTACTAAGGTTCATGCTGCGCCGGGAGGTGGATCCTCCCTCGGATACCTTTTCGGAGATGGAAAGTAAGTGATTTGTTTTATAATGAAAATGAAAATGAAATTGTTGTTTGCTCTCTCTCTCAATATCCCTCCTCCTCCTACCCCATGTGAGATTCAGCTTGCTTCCATTGTCATAATTTCACTTCATTCAGACATAATTTCATCTGTGTTTCTTGTCCTAAAATGGAGCTTTTAACAAGCCAAGCCAAGCCAAGCCACTCATTCCAATTTGGCAAATTTGTTTCTCATCCCATTTATTATAATCTTAATTTAACCAAATGCTTTACCAACAAAATTTTACTCTTAGATAGATATGGCAACAATACACCTTCGGAATGGGTTTTATGGGCCTCGAAACCCAACATCGGGTCTGTTTCTTTTGATTGGATTTGGAAAAAATTTGTTTTAATCTGGTGTTAAAATAATGTACAATCAAATACTCGTTCCGTCCTAATACAATAGTTTTATTTTCATAAATAACAATATCACCGTAAAATTATCTCTATTTTTTCATTTTTATTACTAAAATTACCACCGCTTATTCATATTTTTTTACGAATTATTAATATAATATTAATATTTTTTAAATTTTTTGTCCAACCCAATTAAGACTAGTTCTCCTGGAACGGAGGGAGTATTTTATAATAGAAAAAAATATTTCTTAAAAATGAGTATTTTATAATAGAAAAAAATATATTTTTTTTAAAGAAATACAGACTCTAAATAGTAAAAAAAAAAGGTGAAATTTGGAATCAAAATAAACCCATCTAGAACCCATATCGTCGCCTTGAACTTGTAGGTTTCAAAAACAACTTGAAAATTCCGTCTTATTTTATAAATTATATTGGTGTATTTGGTTGTGGGGTCCGCAATAGAAATAGAACTATTATTTTTTTCATATAATATTACATTAAAACATTATTTAAAATTAATTCAATTTTAAACACAAATTAAACAAATCCAATATGTATAATTTTTTCCCCTTTTTTTATTGTTATATTATATAATAATAGCTTCTTTGAATCAAATTAATGCTTATTTGATCTAATTAGCAAGTGTATATAAAAAAAATAACAAATATCGATCTAAATATATCACATATTTGAATAGCGAAGCCAAATATATTTTTTCAACAGAATAACTTGATTTAATTAACAAATGTCCATAAAAAAAAATAATAATAAATCATCACTATATAATACAAAATTCAATTATTAAATGTTTTAAAATTCCAAAGTTTCAATCACAAAATATAATATCATGTAGTGACTTAGCACTAACTGAATTGTAAGTTAAAATATGCATCTCAATTAAAAATTGAAAAATAAAATACCATAAAAGTATAAAATTATAAATTTAAATAATTATAAAAATATATAATATTAAATTAATCAGGTCAAGTGTAAGACTGGATTTAGGAAGAATTTTCTTATCAAATTACCTATGACCTGAATCCATAAGGGCATTCTTCTTCTTCTTCTTCTTCCCTCAAGTCTCTCGAAACCGATCCACACTTCAATGGCGATACCCAACATCTCATAGCTAATAAAAACAACAACAATAATAATAATAATAATAATAATAATGAAACCTTCCGAAGAACAATTGATTTCTTACTCTTCAGAATCGACGAAAACGTCCTCTCTTGAGTTGTGCCCAAGCTAATGCAGCAACCGTAGCCCCGCCCAAATGCGCCGATCCAGAAACCTGATGGTCTCCCTGCCATCCCAATACGACAAATGTTACAAAAAAAAAAAAAAAAGAAAAAAAAAAAAAACAAAACGATCGAATGATATATGTAGAACATCAGCGAAATGAAGATGTGGAGATCTAATGCATACCTGCAATATCCTCATCATATCTTTGCCAATAATAAAGATTCCCTGTCATCGACACATAGTCGAGTGAAGATCTTAAAAAAGTTGAATTTGTCTAGATAAATTATACGGTGGAATAGACTTACGAGTAAAATAGCTGGAACGGGTATAATAAAGTCTAAATAGAGGGTCTTTGTTGGAAAGAGGAATATATCGAGGAGCATTATAGCATTTGTGGCTCCGCTTGCACCCTAAAATCAAACCACATCAAATTTTTTCCCCGACAAAAATGTAGACATTAATGCGGTGATTACCAATCCCGGGACTTTTGCAGGGTCGATACCAAACATTGGCGTTCTCTGCAAGTATCAAATAAAGAATGCGCATATCGTTAGATATGAAACAATTATGCGCGCAACCAAATATATATACACGCATATACCATCTTAGATTGCATTTTTGTAATGTGGCGTAACAACACAAAAAGTATATACTCCCTCCGTCCAATTTCTATTGTCCTAAAGTATACCGGTATAGTTTCTTAAATAATTGTTTTTTTTTTTATGAATTGAGAAATTTACCTTTTATGGTAAGATAGAAATTAAAAGTAATAAATGAATGAAGGGTAAAAAAGTACAATTTGTATTTAAAAAAAAAAAAAAAATTGAACAATAGTAGTTGAACGTTCCAAATCGAAAAATAAAACATTAGTTTGTGGACGGATGGAGTATTATTTATTTAAAAGGTCTTCAATGAGACACCAATTCGACATTGTTTGCATCGAAGAAATTTTGATCTTAACTTGGGCAGGACATGGAGGGTTTGTTACCACCGTATTATATATCAATGAATTATGTTAGTAGATGATAAAATAACTAATATCTAATTTAACGGATTATTACATAGAATTATTGATTTGACCTAAAATGCCCTTAATTCATGAGATAGAATAAAATACTAACTTAGCTATTGTCAATGATCATATAGTCTTTTAACAATTATAACCCGCAAGCGAATGAATAATAGTCCTTCGCTATTTATCCCGGCTTTACTTTATCTCAAATTATAATAACACGTAGTAAACATGTGATTAGGTTAATATTTTCCATTTTATAACTCAAGTAAACACACCCGGACAATATTAATACCTGGATTCGCGAAGCTATGAAGGCATGATATCCCAAGTAAAAGATCGAGCCGACCACAGCACCGGACAGATACAATTTCAGCAAATACTCCGGCCCAAAAGATCTTCCTATCTGGGAAGCAGCAATTAGAATTTACAGAAATTACTTAACGTTGAATGTTAAAATTTGTTCTTTGAAACCAAGCTTATATAAAAAGAATTTAATCAAACAAATAGAAATCAACGACTATTAGTCCATTCTACCGCCTAATTCTTTAAGCTGAAATAGCATATATAAAAAAAACATAGCTCGAATATCAAGTTCAAAAAAAAAGAAGCAAGACGAGTGTTCTTACACTTAGCCCGAAGAAGTAGAGCCCGACCATGTTTGAAATAAGATGCCACATGTCTTTATGACTGAATGCCGCGGTTATCAATGTATGCACCCGACCGCTTGTAAAATTGTCCACAGAAATCTGCGTTGTAAATTAATAACACAGATAACATGATGTCCAATAGCGTATCTGCTCTTCACGTATCATGAGTAACTTACCATGAAATTCTTCACCATAAATGAAGGGCTCGCAATATTCCATAAAATGTAAACAGCAGCATTTGCTACTATCAAGCCTATCACGACTCCGTCAGCTGTCAGTCTTCCAAACATCGAATTCCTAGAAAATAAAATGAACCACACTTCTTAAAGTTTCAGGTTGTAAGAACTATGCCGAAAGACATATGTGTAGTTCAGAAGCTAACATTAAATCCAAAAGTAGGTTTAAGAGAACAAAATGGTGTAAGGTTTTCGTCATAAACTTCACTCGTACTTCTCTACTTCATTGTGTGTATAAAAACTCCATAACTACCGAAATTTAAATGGACAAAACTACAACCGCAATATCATCTTACTGAACTCAGAAAGAATGTGTGTTAGACACACAACCAATTGTGTTCATAGACAAAAAATTAACTTCCATTAATATTAAAATCCAATTCTCTTTCATTTCATTTCAATTCTTCCACCATACGTGCAATGTTCACCGTTTTCAATAAAATTATATTCTATTCTCTCTCAAAAGAATTACATCAAAATACTATCTAAATCAAAACCGAAAACCCAAAATAAAACACAAATAGGGTGTTGCAATTTTCAAGGTTTTCAATAAAAATAAACTCCATCATTCCTGCTACAAGAGTTACACTTTCTATTCTTAGATGTCCACTCACAAGAGTTACATTTCCTTTTTAATAACTACCTAGCCTACTGCTCATTATAAATACCCTTTCAATCTCACCTATTTACGCAAATAATATTCCATTACAAATAAAATCAAATGGCAAATTTGCCTTTTAACCTAAAAACCCACCAACTATATAGTTCTTAATCTAAATGCCAAAAGTAAATTTAACTCCTTAGCATGGACGGAGGGAGTATTATAATATCTTACAAAACATCATATCAAAATACTATTTTATTTCTAGCCCAAAACAAAATACAAAAAGAACACACCCTCGATATTCGTGTAATATCACACACCATTTACAATTATGCAATTTTTTTTTTTTTTTATTTTCAGGTTTGTGTATCACATTAGCAAAAATTGTTCTAACTCTCGTTGGGTTGCCACATATATTTTCGCAACCGACTAAAATACCAATCGAAAACATCCGAAGCTGCAACGAATGAAATTCAATTAGATCACCAATAGAGACATAGCTAATTCCAACGAACATTTTCAATTCAAATTTTTTATTATTCTTATAATAAGCAAACAATCAATCAAAAGACACAGCCAAACAAACTAAACATATATATCTCTAGCAGAAAAATAGTTCATCATTCTCCAATAACCCACAGAGACAATCAATTTAGCTAAACTATCTCACGTGGCACAGCATAAAAATTGCATACAGTAAAAAGTTCAAAGGAAATAACCAAAATCATACAAAAGTTGTAAAGATATGAAACAAGAAAAATTACCAGCCACGGCGCCGGGAATCAAACGAATGGAAATTTCTGCTAGCGTGATTCGAAGCCGTACGTTTCAAAACAGCGTTTGACATCAACCTCCCAGCAGAAACAGATCTCATAAAACCTCGAGTCGTCACCCAAGGTCCGCCATAGACGTACAACTTCCACGAATGTGCAGAGAAATGCGAGCACGGATTCGCACCGAGTTTCGAGAATGCGGGTGAAAACAAGGGAAATTGTGCTCGGACGATCGAATTGGCACCGCCGCCGCCGGCGGAGGCGGCGGTCGTCGGCGCATTTTTTGCGATTCTAGAGAGCAACTTGACGGAGAGCTCCCTCTGCATTTTCAAATACGTCCGTCCGAGCTACCTAGTTAGCTCTATAACACCTCCAAATTTCGAGTCTCAGAGTCAGAATCTTGCCTGCATCATCGCATACGCGGTTGCTTGGAGAAGCGTCAATCGGAAATTCCTCTAGAAATAGAATTGTGAAATCGCCATTAATGCGATGCTGTAGAGGCGATCGCGGTTCGAATAATTTGGGTGGAAATTGAAAGCGGTATATCGCTCTCTCTGTGAATTTAGGGTTGGATTGGGTTGGGGCTGGCCAGTCCGAATTAGGGTTTATGCTTGGCCCAATTTGGTAATTTTCTACTTTCCTGGTTCTAAGAGATGTCAAAAATTAACCCAAAAATTCGAATCTGTTCTATCTCAAATCTTTTTTGTTTGGATTTGTAAAAAATCGGTTGATCCGAATCTGAAGCAGAAAAAATACATATTTGTTGGGATCGAGTTTCAGATTAGCATAATAACTCGAAATATAAAAATTAAATTGAATTTCGAATTTCTCGAGTCGATTTGAAATTAGTTATTATTATTATTTTAATTATAAAAACTAAAATAAAAATGAATTTTTAGATGAAGTTAATTTTTTAAAAATATTTAGGCTCTCCTTGTGTCTTTGTTTGGGTTTAAGATGATTTGAAACTAAATCAAATCGACTTAAACTCGACTTGAAAGAATTCGTGTGATGTTCAAATCTAGTGATTTCAGATCAAATTTCGAATTTGGATCACGTACAGTTTTTGTATTATTCCACGACCAAGAACACGAAATGAAAGAAAAAAGAAATTATACACACAAAAAAGAAACTATCACAGAATCAGCAACCAAAGAAAAGCATAAAAATGGTAGAAAAGAAAAGAAAATAGTAGTAGTAATTTGGAAGAGGAAGAAGAAGAGCAGAATTAGGCAGAATTGGATAGGCATCGAGAGGAGGAAGCTGACACTCATCGCCATTGAAGTAAACTCTTCTGGGAAAGGCCCATCCCTGCCTCAGCGTGAATTTCTCGGCGTCTTTCTTCAGCAGCACCTCCGTCTGTACGTTCCCCGACGGCCCAGCCTCCATCAGCAGGTCATTATAGAACTTCATGCCGTAGAACATCCCCGTGTCGTCTGCATCCAATAAGCATATCGATGATACATTGTTAAATTCATAATACATATTTTTATAAGTTTAAATTTTTAAGTGAAATAATCGTTTTTATATACTATCAAACATGAGGTCAAATTGATTGTTCAAGTGCAAAAGGTTGACATATAATATGTAAATTAACGACCCATATTCCTACAAATTTGAGTTTTGAAGTGAGATGGTCATTAGGTTATGGGTTTAAACTTTAACCCCTCCAGGTCTTGCAATTTACAAGCTATTAGGTTCTGTCGGAGATTTATCTAAGGCACACCTCCTGAAAGTAGCAAATGCGGGTTCTCATATTATCAAAAAAATATATATATATATACATACATATATCTACAAGTTTAAGTGAAATGGTCATTTAACATAGTACCGAAGTACGGGATCAAATTGTCAATATGCAAGAAGTTGACAAATAATATTTTTATATTCCCTATACAATTTTCTATACTACACATAAAAAATATCTTCAAATTATTTCACGAAACAATGGTTTCAATTTGAGTTTGAAATTTTGATTAGAAATTTAAAAATAATATTTTGATATAATATTTTGTAAAAATGTATAGCATATTCTTATTGAAAATCGTATAAACTATAGAATGAACAGTATAGGTATTGATTTAAAATCATAAACAAACCATAAGCTTTTAAGTGAAACGATCAGTTAACATATAAAATGAGGGATTCAGTATTAGTATCAGTACGTACTTATCGACTGATACGGGAGGAGCGGCTTGTAGTCGAAACTGAAGACTTGGGTGACATTGTCGAGATTGGGGTGTTGCGCCACGAGCGTCCATTGCGTGTAATTCATTCGGTAGTTGAAGTTGGTGATGGCGATCTTGACGCGCCAATAGTCGCGGTAGTTGATCTTCACATGCCAATGGACACGGATCGGGCACATGTGGTGCGTGCATTGCAGCAACGGGACATTGTCCTTCCTCGGAGTATTTATTCCCTCCTTTTTCAGTTTTTCCGAGTCGGGCCTGCCCGAGTCAACAAAAGCGAAGCAAAATCGAACCTCGGGTGAGCACAAGTTTAAAATGAGTCGAAAAGTTTCTTACTTTACGCATTCTTTCTTGTTTTGGCATCCACAGGCGCAGCTCGGGCAAGGAGTGATGGTGTCGTTGTAGAACGTCGAGAAGGACACGCAACACCGGGGATTCCGTGACACCAAGTGTTGCGAGTAGGTACACGTCACGTTCCACGTCACTGCATAGTAGAATGTCTTTGACAATTAGTTGACAAATGTATGTTTAGTAAAAGAGCAATTTGATATTAATATTTTATACCTAAAATGACAATTAAAGATATTTTTTATTTTATTTTTAAAATATTTAATTGTTTTTTTTGTTGTATAGAATTTTTATTAGTATTACTTATTAAAAATTATAAAATTTTTATAAAAATATCTGTTTTTGTTATTTTTAAATACTTTATAAAAGAATTTGTGTAACAAAAATTATATACCATATATAAATAGATTAATAATAATTTCAATTATATTAAATTTATAAATGTAATTTTATATGCTAACTAAAAAATATATATTAACATAATTAATAAATACTAAAAAAAAATATTTTAAAATGTGTAATGACGAAATAAATTATTTTTAAGGTATAAAATAAAAGTAATAAATTAAAATAAAACAACTATTATGAAATATTTCAAAAATTAATCTTTTAGGACCAAGCTATTTTTTTAAAAAAAAAAAAAAAAAAAAAACTAATTTATCAAACGCTTAAATTAATTCTTTTACCGATGAAATAGCTTCAATAAACTAAACTCTCTCAAAAATTATTTTCTAAATATCCTCTAGAAAATATTCTTTTCAATCTGGATTTAATTTGAATAACTAAACTCTCTCAAAAATTATTTTCTAAATATCCTCTAGAAAATATTCTTTTCAATCTGGATTTAATTTGAAATTTTGAAAAATTTGCAGATAGTTTTATCATTTCAATTCTTTAAATCAGATCGAGCGACGAGCTTGCTTACTCAAAGCTTGAGTTTTCCGGCGGCGATCGGGAGTTAAGAAGACGGTGGAGGGGACGACCTTGGCGGGCCCACAAGTGTAGCCCGGCCCGGGGCCAAGGAGGGTGAAATTCTTTGGGAGCTTCACTGTCTTATTGGAAGTTCCCGAGACGCCGACGCTGACTTGGAAGCTCGAGACGGCGCCAGCGGGGTCTTGGCCCCACGAGGCGACGACGCCGCCTTTGCAGCAATTGGCGATTTGTTGATTGTAAGGTACTCCGGGGAGGAGATCGACGACTGTTGGATTTCTCTTGCAACAATGCGGAACGTTACCTTTGAATTTTGAGCAATCTCCTTGCTCGGTGGCTTGCGCCCCGACCATCGACCAAATCACTTCCTTCTTTGCCCAACCCCACGTTAACGTCCATCCGGGGCTCATAATATGGCGATACATTTGGAAGTTGTTCATCGTCACCACGGCCTGATCCCGAGTTTGTTCACCATGCACAAAAGAACTGAAGGGATTTAGAAAAATCGAGCAAAAGCATCAAGGTTGTGTTCTTTTATGAAAAAAAAAAGAAAAAAAAAAAGTGATATTTAATGAAATACTTACTTTGTAATTGGATGTCTCAAAATAGAAATACCGTATACTTTCTAGCAAGACAAATAGAGTATAAAATTTTATTCTATATAAAATAATATAAATATTATATATATATATATTTTATTGAGATATAATTCTAAAAATATTTAAAATACCAACCATACTATTTATATAAAAAAAAAAATAATAATAATATCAAATTTTATTATAAATAATTTATTATTCTATGATACCTAAAATACTTATTCCAACTAAACGGAGAAAATATTAAATTAAATATTTTATTTCTTCCGTCCCTTGACAAATTATCTATTTTTACATTTTGATTCGTTTCATAACCAAGTATTCATTTCTTTTTTAGTAAGAATACGTCATACTAACATTAAAAATACATTTACAACATAGAATCTGTTACACAAATATTATTACATTTATATCACACAATACTAATAAAGTAATTTTATAATTTTTTTTACTTTATTCATATCGCATCCCAATATAATACTAATATTCCTAAAACTCCGTACAAAAAATAAACGAATAGATAGATAAGGGACGGAGGGAGTACTACAAATTTATTTTACATTCAGAACGTCACATCGAACCTCTATTTATATCATCACATTAAACAACCATTAAAATTCAACTTTTTACTATTAAAAATCCAAACTTAAAAACTCAAACCTACAAAAAAAAAAAAAACACACCCCAAAATATTTGAGAATAGTTAGAGATAAAAATTTGATACGATGTTCCATAGAAACATTTCAAAAGTATTTATGTAAACAGAACTCTACTCTTTCGAAGATGTAAAAATCTTACCACATAGCCATCGGGCGTCCAAGACACCACATCCCATTTAATCGTAATGTTTCCAAATGGATCCAACGGATCGTAGCACTCTAAAAAGGATTCAAAAATCAAAGAACATCTAAGGAAAAAAAAACCACAAAATTATCGAAACAAGAAATCACCTGCTTGATGAAATACCATCAACAACAAAGGAACAATCCATAAGAACAGATTAAATCGGGGGATATTCATTTCGACGAATAGCTTAGATTTTTCAGTTACAAGTAGAGATCGATCAAAGCAGCATTACAGAGCTATGTATAGAGAGTGTTAAGATTAGTGATTTCATACCTAATGGTAGTTAGAACTTCACCTGTCTGAGCTTTAAGTTGTCGAATCGTTCGATGTGGCGAAAAAATAAAAACAGGCAGGGAGACATGAGACATTTGAACTCAGCAGATAGATAGTCAGTGTTCCTGGTGCTACATCCTTTTAGTACAGTAATTAATTTGTATTATAGAACATGAGGTTATGATATTTTTTTTTTTTTCGATTCCCTGTTAAAATTTAAATCAATACAAAACTTTGTAACACAAGTGATTCATGTTATCTTTCAGCCACAAGAATGATTCATAATACTTTATTGCTTAGATACTACTCTACATTTTTTTTTCCCTTCCGACATTTTGTATGTTCTTTTGTTTTTCTTTTTTTAAGTTAATGTTTCTACAATTAAATAAAAAAATTTTACATATTTTTCTAAATTTGGATATTGAGTTTGGAGGAATTTTTGAAGATATAATAAAAAAAACCTCGGAAAATTTTCCCCAAACAATCATACATGTATTAAAAATGAGGGGTGAATAATTTCGACAAGAAATTAAGATACGAATAGTAAAGGGGAAAAAAAAGCAAAAGAAGAAGAAGGGTTCATTTTATTTTGGTTTGAATCATTTTATTTGAGTTTTACTTGAATGGTATTTTAACATAATATTTTATAAAAAGAATAATGTATTTTTATTAATATACAATCCCACCCTCTTGCAACTATAACTAGTAACTCTTTAAGAATCAAGACTGACTATTTAACTACACTGTGGTAATCTTTGAGCTAGTTTCGACTTTTTATATATATTAAAACTATAAAGTTTCTGCACAAAACTACTCAACTAGATAGTTTCTCCATGTATTTTTTTGAGGTTAAACTTAAGCTCAAGTTCAGCTCACTTAACAGCTCTAGAAACTCCGTAAAAAATTATAATTAACTAATAAATCTACCATTAGGGATCTCTCATAAAAGTAGTAAATAATTACACATACGAACAAACTCTGAGAATTATTCAATGTGTGGCTATTTATTCTTCAATTTTATATCACTTGCTCCAAAAATAAATTCAAATCATCACTAGAAGATCAGAAATGTATCCCTAACAGTGACGGAATTTCAAGTAGAGAATGCGTATCAACTATAGATGAATCTCCTTGGATGTATTTTCTAAAATAATACTCACTGTTATAAAAAAAAATAAGCTCATATGTGTTCACAAGTTTTAACGTATACGAGTGATTATTAATAATATTTACTTCTTATAGTAAAATATATATATAAATAAACATAACTTTTTACTAAAAAAATAAAAAAGTATGAACAATTTTAGATGACAACAAAAAAATAAAAATAAAAATTGAGCATACATTTTGATACATGAGTATTTTTTTTTAAAAAAAATACATATTACTCAAAAAAAAAATTAATTTATTATTTTAAATAAAAATTTTGTTTAGTTTATTTCGAATTGAGTTTAAGTTTTATTGAAATACCATTCTTTCAACATCCAAACATATGCTTAAATACTTGAATACAAATTTTAATAAGAATGAATGATAATTTCTCTTTTATAATGAAAAATATAGAAAACAATGTACTTTCTTTGCTAAAAAAATTGTTTCTATTAAAAACAAATAAAACATTTATTTTGATTTGATTCTATGTAATTATATTAAATAAAAAAACATTTTATTTAATAGTTTTTAGGGGGGAAATTAGCAATAATTATAACTATTTAATTTATTTATTTATATGGTGTGTTTGTTTGGGGAATTCCTCCCCAAATACACTATTCATCCAATTCTTCCCCCCCTCCAATATCAAATCCATTTTTATTTTTTATATTATACTAAAAATCAATTTTACATTCAAAATATCACATCAACACCTATTTATATGTCATTCAACTATTCAAATTCAAAATTTTTACTATTCAAATCCCAACTCAATCAAACAAACACACCATAAACAACCCGAATTCTTTCTACACTTTGACATTATAACCTCAATCAATAAATCCATTTCAATTTCAAAATTCATCAAAACGCACTGTAGCGTGCAAATCAATGAAGTTATCAAGTCAAGTTGGGCTCAGAGGTGAGCAGAAAAGCAAAACAAATCGTATGAAAATTTAGGGCAAAAACTCAAGAAACAGTGGAGATTTCGAGTACTGACGAAAATCCAAAGATTCCTTTAACTAGCACACGATATCATCTACTCAGAATAAGAATTAGATCAGCAGCAAGTTTCCAGATCTAATTGATTGAAAAAGACGAACTACCACGATTGGAGTGTTCATCTACCATGCACACAACTCAATAATACATAGATGCATCAATCCAATCAAATCAAACAGAACAGGATTCAATCTAGAGATACGGAATTACTTCAACAACGTCCAATGACTTTAGCATCGAATGAGGAATAGAGGAGGTACCTGGAGATTCACAAAGATTACCAAGGCTTGTCGAACCTCCATGATTTGAGCGTTTATCTACCATGTAGATAACACAATCATGCCTAGATGCATCAATCAAATCAAACCGAACATGTAAAACAATTCAATATAGAGAAATGGAACTATTTCAACAAACTTCAGTGGATTTAGTATCAAATGAGAAAATAGAAGAGCATACCTGGAGATTCAGGAGGATTACGAAGCCATGAGGAGCGGTGAAAAGGAGGAGAAATCCCGAGCGCCATTGGAATGGGCGGAATAGGAAACCAAATCCAACTCGAACGCAGATCTTAATGGCTTCCTATCCGCCAATCCCAACAAAACTCGGCGACACCAGTCCCACCATTTCGCCTTCCCCGTTCGAAGCAAGCAACAATGGCTGCCATCCTTCGCTTTTATAGACTTACCACATGAAAATAGGGTTTCGAGTTAGCGGGCCAGGTCCAGATAAATAGATTGGGCCTTAGAAGCCCATAAGAACATTCTGGAGAGCCATATTCTCAAATTAGGGTTCTTCTAGAGTTTCACTTTGTACGACGAAATTCATGTTTCTTCCACAATTGAAGGTTAATTATTCCAAATTCCAAGAACTTTGCATCAGATTCCATTTGTTCTTCTTTGCATATCATGAAGCATCCGATTCTTAATTACAACGAAATAATTGCGTTCTATTACACGTAATTTGATCCAATCACCAGATTTACAGAGTCGTAAATTCAAACAAGGAATTGAAAACTTATTTTCTTTATTAGACATAAGGATCGTGCATGGATCTGAAAGCTATTTCTGAGTTACAATGAACAACTGTCTTCTTATTATACGAAATTTAACCCAATTACCAGATCTACTAAGTCGCGAATTCAAATAAGAAATCTAAAGCTTCAGATCTGATCAAACGCAAAGAATCGGAACTAGATCTGTAAACAGCTGAAGTTTTTGCTTCAAAATCCCCTTCGTAGCGATGTTGTTAGTTCGCAAGGGTAGATCTGTGGAGAAGAACCTCCTTTCAACGAAAAACAGTTACCTGTCCATCAATCGGAAAGTACCTATACACAATCAACAAAGTGAAAAACAAATAACCTCGAATCGTCTTACCGGAGGAACCCTAAGTACGGTAACGGCTTGAACAGAACGCAGGATATGAAAAGGGGGTAAATCCCGAAACCTATAGGAATGGGTGGAATCGGGAATCGATCGTCAGAAATCGAGCAGCTCTCGATTATTATCCGCGGTTTTGATTCCCGAACCACCAATCCCCACAGATTCCGGCAGAACTCAGCCCCCCATTTCAGCTCTCCGGCAACTCCAGTAGAATGGTATGAACAAGCGGCGCCGGACAGGGGTATTTATAGTGGAAATACGAAGGGCTCCAAGAAAGGGCCCAAAAACTAGACTTGCCCAATCGAACCGGACCGGCTCGAAACCGGTTTTAATTATTGTGTTTTTATTTTGATTGATTTAATTTTTGTAATTAAATGATACTTCTTCCTGATTAAAATTTTAAATTTTAAAATGAGATTAATATATATAATTTTTTTAAAAAAAAAATGACAGTGAACAAACGAAAATAAAAAGACATATAGACGAGCCGACGGAGGAGTATTTGATAAAAATATTTCGTTAGAGAAATTATTTTTTAAAAAAAATTAAACAATAAAATTGAAAATTTATTTATAAAATCTCTCTATTTTAGACGAGAAAAACAAATTAGAAAAATATAATTAATAAAAAATAATTATTATATAATAGAGATGTTATAAAATAAATATTAAAATAATTAATAATTTAATTAAAATTATATTTTAAAGATCTAGTTTGTTTGTCGGCTTTTCATAAGAAAGATAAAGAAATAAACCGGTCAGCGGCGGCGGTGCGGTGGTGTAGATTAATGTGGGTGTTAGGGTTTGTTTAACTGTATATTTATAATTGATTTTGGGTTTGTATATTTAGTATTTATTTTTATAAATTTGTTTTTAACGTTGTTATATATGAAAAATTGTTAGGGTAATATGAAAAATATTTTTTCTGTTTATTTACAAAATATATTTATTTTAAATTATTTAATTATAAAATAATTATTTTAAAAATATTCAGCTTTTTTTCACAAATATTTTTAATTTACTATTCTCTCTTTCCAGTTAGAAAATATACATATTTCTATTTTGGGATGTCCAATTAGTAACCATTTTATTAAATATCTCATTTTTTTCCCACAAATATTCCTACTTTATATCACATCATTATTTTTACACCAAAAAATAAGGACAAAAATGTCATTACACTACTTTTAACTACCCACTATAATTAAAATATTACTCCCTCCGTTCCGGTTCCGGTGCGAAATTGTTGTTTACTTTTGCGCGTAGATTTTTTAATATTAGTATTATAATGGATTGTAGTTAAAAAGACGGAAATACCCCTAGTAATATTGTATAATATAAAAGTAATAGCATTTGTGTAATAAAGTATAAGTTTGAAAGGTATTTATCATGTTAGATATGTAGTACAATTATTAAGGGAGTGCTTCAATATAAATTTTATATGATTTTGTTGGACTCTCAAAATCTAAGTGTATTCAATAAAGACTTTTAAAAGTCTTTTAAAATTTAGAGGTATTGAATTCAAATTTTTAAAAATCTTTTAAAATCTCGAGGTATTCAATATAGACTTTTAAAATTCTTTTAAAATTTTGAGATATTCAACTATCCATATATTTTGAAAGTCTATGAATTTTAATGGAAATTTGTAAAAATTTTGTATAAGAAAGAATCTCTCATGATCATCAAAGATTTTGATAGATTTTTAAAATTATTATTATTATTATTATTATTGTTGTTGTTGTTGTTGTTGTAATCAATAATATGATAATATTTATTACTATTATTATAATTTTATAATAAAAATAATAATTTAAAACTAAAATATATTAGCAAATTATTATGATTTTTTTTTAAAATATAAATTTTTATATTATAAATATAATTTTAAAAAATATTATTATCACAATAAATATATATTACTGTTGTCTTTTCTTTCAATTATCGAATACACTGCATTATCATTACGATAACGGTAAAATAGATATTTAAATATATATTTTTTATTAAACTGTTAATTTTTATTTATTTATTTATTTTAATATTTTTTTAAAAATCATAAATTATATTTTTTATTTTATTTATATACGTATTTACTTTTTATGTAAAAATATTATATAAATAATAATAATAACTAATAAAGAAATATAAAACTAATTTGATATATTGAATGATAATATAATACTAAAATTATAAAATTAAAATTAATAATTTAGAATATAGTAGTATTACAATGTTACAATACTTCTACATTATTAATACTTATATATTATTTTTTAATATTAAATTAATTTTATTAATAATTATTTATTATATTTATAAAATTTGTTGTTTGATTTAAATTCATATAATTAAAATATATTTGTAAAAAAATTATTTTACAATCCTACAAAATCCATATAAATCCATAAATAATTCAATCAAATCCGTAGAAATTCATCTAAGTCAATTACTAAAATTCATCAAACTGAACTTAGACTATGTAGATTTTTTAAATCCACATAATTCCATAAACTTTTTAAAATTCAAAAAAATCCATTAAAATCCAAAAAAATCCATTAAAATCCCAATTGAATACACCCCATAAATTATGAAATGGTAACCTTGTTTTGGGACGGACGAAAATGAAAAATGGCAATCTTTCAATGGGACGGACGAAAATGGAAAATGACAACCTTTCAATGAGACGGAGGGAATATTATTTCTTAAACACCGCGCCAAAAATAATTGTATACTTTATGTGTGGACGGAAAGAGTATTATATATTAAGAGTGTATTTGTTTGAAAGTTCGGATATTTTTTTTTAGTAAAATTTTTGAATTGAAATGGTGATGTTATGTAAATGAACATTGATGTAATTTTTGTAATGTAAATTTCAATTATAGTATAATATATAAAATAAAAAATAAATATTTGATATATTTGATGTTTTGGGGGAATATTTTTTTTTTTGTGAATAATACAAATACGAAGAAATTTGATAAAAAAACACACTCTTACTTTTACACAAAAAAATAAATAAATAAATAAAAATATACTTTTAACTGCTTATTACAATTAAAATATTACTACATTCGCTCCGTACGCAAAACTTACATTTATACTCTACATCATTATACTTATTATTCACAATATCTTTAGATTTATATTACAAATATCATTATATTATATTGATATTATAAAATATCTATATATATATATATTAGACAAATAAGCTCATTGTGACTAAAACAATATCACAATTCTCTTAAATACTTCTTAATTTTCAATAACTAATAAATTTAATCTCATTATTCTTAAAATACTAAAATAATACTCCCCCCATCCAAGTTGGCGCGGAGATTAAGGAATAACAGTATTTTAATTATAGTTAGTAGGTAAAAGTAGTAAAATGACATTTTTGCCCTTACTTTTTTGATATAAAAGTAATGATGTGATGTAAAATAGAGGTATTTATGGAAAAAATGGGGTATTTAATGAAATGGTTACTTTGTAATTGGACGTCCCAACATAGAAATACGGATGGAGTACCATTTATAATTTCACTTTTAATTTCATATAGTTTTTAATTCTTATTTTAAAAATATTGTTTACTTTGTGTTTTTTAATATTGAGTATGAAAATTTTTATCAGTAATATATATAAAAATAAAATAAAAAAATCAATCAGAGAAATGCAAAATTATTGATCCGAAGTTTCAAAATTGAATATCAAATTAAAATCAAATCTAAGCCTTGCGAATAACGCGATTTTCTTGAAGCGAATTCGGCCGCCATCGATTGCGTCTAAAGATAGAACGAATTGAACGGAATTATAGATTCCGCGAACCGAAACAGAAAATATGAATTTTAGATAAATTTTGCTGAGGTTTATGAGAGAAAACTTTTAGAACACGAATCAATTGCAACAAATTATTTTGACCACTTGTAATCAAATTATTCATGTTGGTGTAATTTTCCAACAATAAAAAGTAAAATCCAAAAAATAAAAATTATTTTTAGATTTGATAAAATAAATGTTTGAGATTATGAATCCCTAGAGACGGTACGATACATAAAATGAAAATTGAAAAGAATACTAAAGACTGGAAAAGTAAAAATGATGATCCCAAAAGAAATTTAACTGAATTTGATGTCGATTGAAGATGAACTTTGAGGTCATGAAAAGACCTATTTAAAAACTCATATCAATCGCTCCAATGTCGTTATCAGGTCGTGCCTTCATATCCAATTGCTAGTTGCGACTTCTTCCAACCGTCTCAGAACTGCCTTTCACCCGACCTGCACGTCCACTGCTTCATCTCCCTTTGCCCGTCTTCCATTTGCCGGACCTCCGCATCGGCCGCCTCATATTTCTTCGTCCGACTTCTCTTTGTCCGACATCTATGCCAACTGACCTAAATGCCTATTGTCTCCCTGTGCTTCGTCTGACCTCTCTTTGTCCGACCTTTGTATTTCACCGATCACTTAGTCACATGTTCTCCCAAGAAAACTCATTTTTTAAAGCCTTGACTATTGGGCCTATACCCAAAACCCATAATCTAATCTATAAGCCCATTTTCGAAAAACCATACACAATGGTTTTTCTTACTCAAACAATTCAAAATCAAAATTAATTTAAAATTAAATTTTATTTTATTTTATTTGCCCAATTCAATCTATGTTAAAGTCAAAGCTTAAGCACAAGCATTGACCAAATTCAATTCAATCCATATCCCAAATTTCTTTATATTAATTACAGGTTATGGTGGGTAAACTTTGTTTGATAATGTTTTTAACATTTCCTTTTATCTTTCCTTTTCACCAATACATTCAACATATAAAATATATGTTATATATTGTATAAGTATTTTTTTATAATACTTATGAAAAATTTTGTCATAAAAAAAATACTCTTCATTCATAAAATAATTGGCCTATTTCGAATACAATATTTGAAGTAATAATGATTAATTAATTGATAACAAAGAATTGTAACAATATTTTTTATTTTTTTTAATTAAAAATATTGATAGTTTTATATATAATTAACATAAAGTAATTTTATAAAAGATATAAAATTTTAAATATAGATAAAAATATTTATTTTTCAGGAGAAATATATAAATAGAGAGGTTTTGAATGGATTATATTTAATATATGATGTTATATGTTATGTAGTTAATTAAATTGATTTATATTTATTAAATATATTTTAAATTAATAAATTTTATCAAAAATTTAAAAAATATCAATTGTTGTATAAAAAATATCAATTATTATGAAACTGATAAAATACTGAGTGACCAAATATATTATTTATTAAATGTACGTACATATTGTATTTTTTTATTAATATTCATAAAAATTTATATTAATAAAAAGTAGTATATATACAACCAATATTAGAAAAAAACTAAAATAAAACTATCACGATGGTAACGTGACACCGTTGGAAGGAGAAGACATGTGTCGGAACATAACTGGACAGAACAACGATACAAAGGATGTAATTTTAGTACAGCGGAGGACGGGACGGCTGACTTTGAAAGAGTCGCACTTTTGTAGAACACGTTTTCTCCATTTCCTCCGCCATAATAAATGCCGCTCCAATTTAATTTAATTCACTTTTATCACTACGCATTACTGGAAATAATAATTTAATACTAATATTATAACTTTTAATATTGTTGTTCATGTTTGTCACGCTCCGGTCACGTGACATTCGGTCCAGCAGTGCTCCACCGCGTGGCGCGTGCCTTCAAATACTCATCCGCGCTTTCTTCAATTCCGCCGTACCAAAACCTAAATTCCCAAATTGACGTTGAAGAAGGAAGAAATTCTCTGAATTCTCAGCAATGGCAGTCTCGACATCCTCGACGCCGCTGCTGAAGGATGAGCTCGACATAGTGATTCCGACGATCAGGAACTTGGACTTTTTGGAGATGTGGCGGCCGTTCTTCCAGCCGTATCACCTCATCATAGTGCAGGACGGCGATCCGTCGAAGACGATCAAGGTGCCTGAGGGATTTGATTACGAGTTGTACAATAGGAACGACATTAACAGGATTTTAGGTCCCAAGGCCAACTGCATTTCCTTCAAGGACTCTGCTTGCCGCTGCTTTGGCTACATGGTTTCGAAGAAGAAGTACATCTACACTATTGACGATGATTGCTTTGTAAGGATTTGAATTCTGTTGTTTGTTTAATTCTATGTTCCATTTGCTGTTTGTTTGGATCTCTCTTCGTTTTTAATTTCGAGTTTTGCAATCGGATACTTGATTTTGGGTTTTTGCGAGGTTTAGTTTTGAGATGGCTTTTCTACTGTTGATTCCGTTGTTTTGTGGATCTGATTGAAATTCATATGTTCGAATTGATATTCATGGACTTGCTGTGAGATCAATTTGCTTAATTTAACGTTCTCTGAACGTGGATCTGACTTTGTTACTAATTCAAATTACAGATCTGAAGGTTTTGATCGGTTGTTTTTATCACTGTCAGTTGAACTTAATTATGTAACAATTATATGATCTGAACTCTGGATCTCTAAATTTGTACAAACTTAGGACTAAAATTCTTCTTCCACATCATTTTTCCTGTTCTTGCAATTGCTGTGAATTGTGATTCGGTTTGTGTTCATACAATTGATTAGTATCTTTGAAATCAATTTTAATTGCTATTGAACAGTTTGAGATTCACCTATTGATTGAGATTAAATGGTTTAAAATTCGCCTGCTAATTTTGGTTAAGAGGTTTAAGGTTTATTCTGTCGGTATGCACCAAAACCTTTTCATGTGCTTTATGTTCTACTTTACAGCATTATCAGCCCTACCTGGCCTTCAACGTCATTATTTCGGGGGGACCGATGTTTTGGTGAGTTGTTTATTATTTAATTGATTCATTGATTCTTGTAACGCAGGTTGCGAAAGATCCATCCGGCAAAGAAATCAATGCTCTCCAGCAGCACATTAAGAACCTCCTGTCCCCATCCACTCCGTATTTCTTCAACACCCTTTACGACCCGTATTGTGAAGGCACCGACTTTGTTCGTGGATACCCCTTCAGCCTCCGTGGGGGCGTCCCGACTGCTGTCTCGCATGGCCTCTGGCTCAACATTCCCGACTACGATGCTCCAACTCAACTCGTCAAACCTCGTGAGAGGAACACAAGGTATGTATTCGCCTCAAATAGTTATCGTTTGCGCCCATCTCGGATGGTATTATCGATCAATTTTATTGTGTCATAAACATTAGGAAAAAATAAAAAAAACGACATTATAGATTGCTAATTTAAAGGAAAAGCAACAATGTCGACGAGTTAGATATACGATTATTTCTATACATGATCCATTTAAAGGATTAGAATGATAAAAATTGTCTATTTACACGATCAAAATTTATGGCTTAAGTTTCGAAAAAAAAAATTGTATTAGTAAAAATTTGGGCAGACTTTTTGTTAGAAAAAGAATATATTTAACATAGGATGTGTTTCTTTGTGGGTTTGTATTTATGAATAGTAAAAAGTTTGAATTTGAATAGTTGTTTAACTTAATATAAATATAAATAGATGTTGATGTGATATTGTGAATGTAAAATAGATTTATAATATAATATAAAAAATGAAAAATAATTGTTTGATTTAATATTTTTGAGTGAATAATAAAATTTTGCGTCTATGTTTTGTTTTACAAAAGTTATGGTAGATAAATAGTGCTCAACGATAACATGTTATTCCCAGGTACGTCGACGCAGTAATGACGATCCCAAAGGGAACTCTTTTCCCAATGTGTGGAATGAATCTCGCTTTCAACCGCGAGCTAATCGGTCCGGCCATGTACTTCGGTCTAATGGGCGACGGCCAGCCAATCGGTCGATACGACGACATGTGGGCGGGGTGGTGCGTCAAGGTACGCAACCAAGCACAATTTTACAAACCACCCGGCAATCTCAATATCATAATCCTCGACTCATCTCGCTTATTTCCTGTAACTTCCTCGTCGACAGGTGATCTGCGACCACTTGGGGCTCGGCGTCAAAACAGGGCTGCCGTACATTTGGCACAGCAAAGCGAGCAACCCGTTCGTAAACCTGAAGAAGGAATACAAAGGCATATACTGGCAAGAAGAGCTGATCCCGTTCTTCCAATCGGTAACTCTCCCGAAGGACTGCGACACCATCCAGAAATGCTACGTCGAGCTCTCCAAGCAAGTCAAGGCCAAGCTCGGCAAGGTCGACGAATACTTCGTCAAGCTTGGGGATGCCATGGTTACGTGGATCGAGGCGTGGGACGAGCTCAACCCCTCGAATGGCAGCACCGCCGCTGACGCCGCCGGCGCCGCCAAGTAGGGAGGTAAGAAGGAAGGTAATTTATTGCAACGGTTTATATATATATAGTTATTTGGGAAGATGAGGATGGATGAGATTTAAAATTTGTTTTTGGGATCTTAGATTTATTTGTTGTCTCATTATGTGAGTTGGAAACTTATTATTATTATTATTATTATTATTGTTATTATGGTCTTTCATAGTAGTTACTGCTGCATATGCCTTTGGTTTATTTTTGTTTGTTTTTCTAAAAGTGATTGAAAATTTATTTATTATGTTCCATTCCCTACTATATCTATCTATCCATTTATAATGAGATGTCCTATATCTATCTATCAATTTATATTGAGATGTTGTAGAAATAAAAGTAAAAAGACTAAACTAACTTTATTAAATATTGTATGATATAAAAGTAATAAAATTAATGACATTTGTGTAATATATTGTAAATTGGAAGGTTAATTTGTAATGTCAAGTAAATTGTATGGTTACTAAAAAAAATAAATAAATATTTTGTTATGAGACGGATTAAAATAAAAAAAAAATTGGATAGATTATTGAAGGCGGATGAGTATGATTTAAATTGGCGATGAATACGTTGCTAATAAATTTAGATTCTATTAACCCAACTGAAATTTTTGAATAAAATATATGTATATTCACAAAAAAAATTATAGTATATAATCTACTTAAAAATATTTGATAATTCAACACAAAATGAAATATTCTTTTTGTCAATTTATAAAGTATATATAGTATTTTATTTTGAATTGTCCAATTATAAAATAATTATTTAAAATATATATATATATATATTTTCACAAATAAACCTATTGTTTTATCACATTATTGTTTATATTGTCAACACCTTTGTATTATCTAATATAAAAAAATTTCAAATTAGAAGTACAATAAACAAAATCAGGCTCTATTATCACATTAGATAGGAGTATTAATTTTTTACTATTTTTTTCGATTTTTTAAAAATTAATTTTAATGTGAAGTTTTATGGAATGAAAATATGAAATAATATATATATATTTATTTAAAATCATTAAAAATTGAATAGAGTTATTTGGTTTCAAATCCAAAAATAAATAAATAAATCCTTTCTTTATTTAATTTTTGTTATTGTCAATATACTTCCAAAATTTTCATTTAAATGCATTTTAACTATTTTGATCACACCTGGGTGCCCAACCCAAAATTGCCCATGTTTATAGGGAGAAGAATGTTGTGGTAGATGGGCCCATGGTCAAGAAAATATTTAGTGAAATATTTGGTGTCTTTGTTTTTATTCAAATAAAAAATATATTATTTAATTTGTATGATTTTCGATAAAATTATATTATTTTTTCTTATAAAATATTTATTTGACAATACTATAGATTTTAGTTTCACCTTTTAATTTGTATTAATAATATGAAAAATATTTGTATTGGATATTAACATTTTTTAAAATAATAATATATTATATATATATTGAGTTCGTATAAGTAGAAATTTGTTTGGGCAAACAAACCCCAATAAACCCCTTTTGCAATGTTTTATTTATTTATTTATTATAATAAAATAATTATTTGATATAATGTTTAAAATCAAAATAAAAATAAGAATATAAAAAAAAGAAAAAAAAGCCAAAATGATGTTTTATTAAAAAAAACAAAAAAACAAAAAAAAATTATAGTACTTCATCCCTTAATCAAAATTGTGCTTAAAATTTTTGGAAATAGAGATTAGAAAAAATAATAAATAGTACTACTATAATGTTACTTTCTATATTTTTATTGAGTAAAAATTAAGGGTGTGTTTCTTCAACCCCAAATTTAGGGTTTTTATCTGTTTGCACAGTAAAAACTCCAAATTTGAGGTTGTCCTCCAATCCGTCGACAATGTGCAGGTATGCTTTTATTTTTATTTTTTTAAAAAAAATTAAAAAATTATTTAATATTTATTATAATTAAATGGAAAAATATATATATACAATATATATGTCATTTTGTAGAGAATAAAATTTTATATAATACAAATAAATAAAAATTTAAATATATACATGTTGGGTATAATATAAATTCATAATCAAATCATACAGTATAAATTTTATCAATTAAATTTAATGCATATTTATATTATTTTATTCATTATCCATTAAATCAATACACATTAAAATTCTCCAAACCCAAACTCAATTTTCTCGAAACTCCCCTAAAGAAAACACACGGTAAGAGTATATTTGGAATTTTTTTTAAGATTGATAAAAATATAATATAGATTAAATGAAAGAAAAAGTAATGACATAAATGTAAATAAACACTATAAAACTTTGAGATAATTGATACTGTTTTTACTAAAAAATAGTATGAGCAAACTTTTGGTTAACAAATTAAAATGACAAAATAAATACAATTTTGATGGATAAAAAGAGTATAATTTTACAGAAAATCACAAATGTTATAGAGTAGACAATCAAAATTACAATAAAAAAACACAGGTATAAATTTATAAGTGTGTTTAGCACATATTTTTATTTTTACTATTTAATAAAATAGTGCTTGAATATACTATGTTTAATATGAAAATTATATACTATCTTCGTCCGACTATAAAGTAAACATTTATTTTTTACACGGAATTTAAAAATTAATACTATTTTAATTATAGTAGGTAGTTAAAAGTAATATAATGATATTTTGTCTTATTTTTTAGTGTAAAAGTAATAATGTGATGTAAAGTATAAGTATTTGTGAAAAAAAAATTAAGTACTTAATGAAACGATTACTTTGTAATTGGACAACCCAAAATAAAAATACTTTCTTATTGGACGAAAAGAGTATACTTTTATTGAAAATTATTGTATAAAATAGGAAATAAAAAAAAAAAAAAAAAAAAACAAGAACGCAAGTATATATTTACTAATGCCGTAAAAATGATTTACATCTAGAAGCGGTCAAATTATATATTTACACTAGTATTATCATGTATGTAAATTATAGAAAAAATTATATCCAAACATCTATGAAAGTGTAGATCAAATTTTAGTACGCGGTCCGGTCTGATGCACTATATGGACAACCCAAAAGAATCAGCTATTTATGTACTTTCTCCGTCCCAATACAATAGTCTTATTTACTATTTTTATCCGTCCAAAAATAGGAGTCTTATTTCCAATAACTATATCACCATAAAACTACCCTACTTTTTTATTTTTATTACACAATTGCCACTATTTTTCACACTAATACACTCACAAGGGCAAAAAAGTCTTTTATTCATAATTTTTACCGACTACCGATATATATAATATCAATATTTCTTAAATCCCTTGTCGAACCCGTTTAAAATTATATTTATGGAACGAATGGTGGAGTAATATTTCATCATTCCATCGAATCATTGTGGTGTTCTTTCTTCAAAAATATCTCATTCGATTTCTTTATGATTTTTTTTTTTTTGTGATGTTATCCGATAAAATGAAGGTACAATCATAGAATAAAGAATCTAATCAAATTAGTAGATGTCTTTTTTGTTTCTATTTTCAATTTTATTTCTATACTCCCTCCATTTATCCAAGTGTGTATTTATTTGACTAGACACGAATTTTAAGAAAAATATGTAAGAACATAAATTTTTAATTTTTCTTTTTTGGTATAGGAAAGTGATAATTTTTTAATAAAAAAGAAAACAAAAATAAAATTGGATAACAAAAAAAAAAATGAAAATAAATTTGAATGACGGAGGGAGTAATACTCAATATAAAATTAATAGTATCTACCTCCCAAATGTATTGAAACAAATTATTATTATTTTTTTAATACGAAGTTTAAAAAATATTGATATTTCATTAATAATTGGTACAATGTAATAATCACAGGAGGGGTTATGGTAGTAATTTGAGATTGATTTTTTCAATCACCGCAAATCAAATACTTCCTCCGTTCTTTAACAATCTATCTATTTTTATATTATGGTTTGTCCCATAACAAAGTATCAATTTCTTTTTTTAGTAATTGTACTATCTACTTAACGTTACAAATACCCTTCAAATTTACAATATATTACACAAATGACATTACCTTTATATCATACAATACTAATAGGGTTAATTTAATCTTTTTACATTTATTTCTACTTTATCCTAATATAATACTAATATTTTTAAAACTCCGTACAAAAAACAAATGAATATATAGATATGAGACGAAGGGAGTATATAAATTGCAAATATTTTTGTTTCAAACAACTAAAATAAACTATATAATGTATTGTCCGTAGTAATATTGTATTATTGTATGTTAGTACAACACATAATATGTCAGCACGGTAACCGTCGCAAATACTTACATATTCTTTTTGCCTTTTTTTTTAAAAATAATAAAAATAAAAAATGAGTATATGTTTTAATTTATATAAAAACCGTTTTGTCATATGTCTAATAAAATTACAAGTGAAAATAATATATAATGATGTAGGGACACATTTATTACTTTTGGTAATTAAATAATTGACAATAAGTGAAAATAATATATAATGATGTAGGGACACATTTATTACTTTTGGTAATTAAATAATTGACAATAAATATGAAACGTGTGGAGTATCTAATACTACTACTATTATTCATTTACTATATATAGTATTTTAAATTTATTTTAAATTTGAAAAAGATGAATGAATTCAAAAGACTTCATTTGATTTGATTTGATTTCATTTTTTTAAGTTTAATTATTTATTTTGATTTGAATATATTTAAAATATGATGTTTTATTAAAATAAGCAGTACTCCCTCCGTTCCAATACAACAGTCTTATTTACTATTTTAATATGTCCTAAAACAATAGTCTCATTTTCATAAATAATCATGTCACCATAAAATTATTCATATTTTTTTATTATTATTACACAATTGCCACTACTTTTCACACTAATATATTCACAGGGACAAAAAAAATCATTTATCCTTACTTTTTTACCGGGAATAAGGAATTATATTTTTATACAAAATTATATGATAAAAAAAATTGAAAAAAATTCAAAGAACAACACCTTAGTCTTTAGTTTAATATACTTACGGAAAATATATAATTCAAATAATCGAAAAAAATATCAAGTCAAGACACCCATAATTTCTATAGATATTGAAAAAACATTTAAATATTGTATTATAACAAATTCATCAATATATTTTAGTTACATCATAATATAGGGTCTGTTTCTCCAGCTCAAAACAGCCCAGTTTTGAGCTTGGAGAAGTTCGGCGGACAGACCTTTTGTTTTTTTAAAAAAATTAAAAATATAAAAAAAGTTATAATAATTATAATTTAATAAAATATATACAATATATATGTCATTTTGTAGAGAATAAATTTTTTTATAATATAAATAAATAAAAATTTTAAAATATATGTACAAATATAATATAAATTTATAATTAAATTATACAAATTACTATACATTTATATTATTATATTCATACCCATCAAATCAATACACATCGAAACTCCTCAAATTCCAACCAAACTCAAACCCAAAAGAAACGTCAAAATTCAAACTCATCTCAAAATTCAAATAAAAAGTAAACCCAAACCCAAATTTCTCCAAAACCTCCTAAAGAAACACACCCATAGTCTCTATGTCTCAAAGCATAGGATTTCGAAATTTTGTAACAAATTAAAAAATAATAATATTACTTATGTTGCATAAAATCAACACTATTTATTTTCTGCACGTAATTTTTTTTTATATTAATATTATATTGGTTTATAGTGAAAATAACAAAATACAATTATTAAATTATGTGATATAAAAATAATAATATTTGTGTAATTTATTAAAAAATTTAAAGGTATTAATTATGTTATGTAGATAATAGAATTACTCAATTATAAAATAATACCATTGTTTTGAAACAGACAAAAATAAAAAATAATATCTTTTTTATGGGATTAGAAGAGTATTTTATTGGTCAGTGAAAGTGTTTACGATATATATTTTTTTATTTGATTGTATATATAAAGTATTGTATGTATAATAATATATTTGTAATTTAAATAAAAATTTAAAATATTTTAATATTAATATATGATTATTTTTTAAAAAATAAAAAACAATACTTTAAAATAAAATAGATAAAAACAGTTAAAAAAATATATATAAAACACAGTCAAACAAACCGGTAATTTTAAGGGAGCTGATTTTATTGACGGTTTTTCCCCGACCATATACTTTTCGACAACATTCTCAACCAAAGTCTCGACACGTGGCACTTCCCATCCTAGTATGTACGGAATCGCCAGGGGCTCCGGAGTCTCCTCGTACCACTATTCAATGAAATCAAAGAGGCCCACTTACGAACGAGTGGTGAGACTTGGTTGGGAGCTGTGGTCCCGGGCGTTTGTAGATCAAACAAGCTTTAAATATACCGCAACAAATTCTATTTGTATTGCGATGGTCCACCGTACAATACATAATGCACAGGGTACCGGCACATGTGCATGAATAGAATACAAGTGGACCACTGGACCAGACGCCGGTGTCCACCAATCACAACTCGACAACCTATTTGGGGAAACAGCCCTTGTTTAGGTGTCCGACGTGTCCCGAACTATTAATGAAACAGAGTAACAGCCAGTCAACAGCATATAAAAAAAAGAAAATAAATAAAATAAAATTCCTATTTGTTTTAATTATTTCTCTCTCAAAATAGATCGTAATTAATTTATTATTTTTGTTTGTAATTATTTATTATTTATATATGTAAATTATAAACGAAGCTGAATAAAACATTTTAGAGATTAATTAAATAATTAATTTTATGTATCGATTTTTTTGTGTTCATTCGAAGAGTTTTAAAGATTTTTTTTATTATTCTTCTTTTTTTTTTTTTTTTTTTTTTTTGCGGTTGTTAATGTATTTGAATTTAAATTTTAGTTGATAGTACTGGCAAAATTCGGATGCATCTGCACACGAATTAAGAAATATTATTATTTTAATAATAATTGATAGATATAATAGTGTAAAGATAATACTCCATCCGTCCCTGATCCCATGTCCATGTTGCCGTTTCTGTCCGTCCCACGTACCATGTCAGTTTTCTTTTGGAAAATGATTACACACTTTAATCTCATTTTAAATTTTTTAATTTTAATTAAACTAATTAGTTATCTTAATCTTAATTTATAATTATTTATATTATAAAATAATTATTTTCACTAATACATTATTAATTATCTATTAATTATACTCCTTCTAAAATACCGTGTCTACAGTGTAGCAGACATGCTACACAGTATCTGGTACGGAGGAAGTATTATTTTTACTTTTAAATATAATTGTATACTAAAGTGATAATATGATGATAAATAAGCATAAAAAAATACTCCTATTACTCCCTATGTCTCAAATAAATTATTTACATTACGACAGATACGATAATTTAATTAAAATATAATTAGTAGATAATTAAGAAATATACCGGTAAAAATAATTATAAATTAAAATTAAATAATTATACTTTAATTAAGATTAAGAAATATAAATTATAAAATTTTAAATATAATTAAAATGTATAATAAAAGGAAAATGACAAATTATACAAGACTCCTGAAATAAAAAAAAAAAATGAAAATTTTATGTGGGATTAAGAGAATAATACTCCCTCCGTCATTCAAATCTATACTCACTTTCCTTGGTTGTCATAAAAAAATATTCTCGTTTCTTTTCTAAGTAAAAAATTATTACACTTTTGTATTTTTTTTACTATAAAAGAAAAAAAGTAACAATTATTACTCACTTTTATTAAAACATGTGTCTGGTAAAATGAACACATATTTGCATGACAAAAAAAAGTAATAGTTAATGGCAGGGGAAATATAAAACTTTGAATTAGACAATAAAAATAAAAATACGTAAACATTAAAAAGTAGATGAAATGAGTATTATTCACCTAATTTTTCGAACAAAAATAAAATATACGAAGTATTAAATAAATTTAAAGAACACATAAATTTTTGTATCGAAAATAAAATGTATAAAAATATTAGATAAACTCAAAGCACCATAAACATCTTATAGTTTAATGATTTGATAAAAAAAAAAGCTTTTTGATTTTATAAATAGAATTAAAAATACAATAAAACAAATAATGGAATTTTATCCACAAACTTTTTTATATTCTCTCAGAAAGTATAAAAAGTGGTAAAATAATGGGAGACATAATTCAAATAATCACAGATACATTTTTATATATTTATAGAAACTGCAAGGACCCGTACGTTGTCTCTCCTGACGTCACAAACACAATTATCTCCTACGCTCCAGGACTCCAACACCAGAAAAATCCCAACCGTCGAAACAACAAACCATCTGTCCAGATCCAACCGGCCTCCAAACTCCCGGACCTCCATACAACCCCGATCAGAACAGCGTCTCCTACTCTCGGACCAATAAAAAATCGACAGGAAATTCTCCGAAACCAGGGCAGTATTCCAAAACCAGTTTTCCCCTCATCAGAAACCACCCAAGGATGTTGCAACATTATGATGCATAATTTAACAAGAGAAAGAGACAGCTGAAAACCCAAAAGTAAAGAGATAGATAGATAAGAAAGAAAAAATTAAATAATAATAATTAAATAAATATATATATATATATATATGCATATACACGGCTGTTGTTATTCAGTATTGACAATATATTATTCAATATATCTATTTTATAATAATTTATTAATATTAAGATACTATTAATTTTATATAAATGATAAAATTATTTACTTTTTATATACTGAGATGTAGTAGAAATAAATATAAAAAGACTAATCTATCGTATTGTATGATATAAAGATAATAATATTTGTATAATATATTATAAATTGAAAAGGGGGAACGAGTATTACTTTTAGTCTATTATAAAGAATAAATATATATAATAACAAATTGCAAATAATATTACTGATAGCACGCGACAATTATTTACACAATATATATTATTATTGACTTTTAACACAAAATATATTGAGAGTGTTTATTTGTACAAGTTTACAATTTAACAATTTTCTTTTATTTATTATATTAATTAAAATTTAATTTTACACTAAATAATTATTTTAATTTAAAATTTTCCTATTTAAAATTAAAGGAAAAAAGCAAAACAAAAAATATATATATATATATGTATATATATATAGAGAGAGAGAGGTTAGTAGAGTGAGAAATGAAAAAGAATTTTTGGTGTGTATGTAATGTAATGGTAATGGTAATGGTGGTGGGCTACACTTTTTACCATATGGAGTGGGGAAGCAAAATATCTGAGTGGTGCCAAGATCGACAGCGCATATATGTAGAAACGGTAAAAACGAGACCTAGCTAGCATCTCAGTCTCAATCTCCATCTCATCACATCACTACACTCCGCGCACCATTATACATACGTACATATATATATATATATATATATATATAGGGAGGAGTGGCCATAATTAGCCATTGTTGAAGGCGGTTTAATTTGTGTGCAGTATAAGTTTATCGTCGTCTCTCAATTTTGGGGGATAATAAGGGTTTTCTGTGTTGATTTTGGGGCTGTTATTTTTTTTTTTATTTTTTTTTTCTAGGTTTGGGGGAATTAATTGAATCGGAATGGGGAGGGGAAGAGTGCAGCTGAAGAGAATCGAGAACAAAATCAATCGGCAAGTCACGTTCTCGAAGCGTCGATCGGGATTGTTGAAGAAGGCTCATGAGATCTCCGTGCTGTGCGACGCCGATGTCGGTTTGATCGTCTTCTCCCCCAAGGGGAAGCTCTTCGAATACGCTACCGATTCTTGGTATTGTATATTACTGCTTCTCGTAAATCGGTCGATCGATTACCTATTTTTTTGGCAAAATCTTCTCCTGCTTGCTTCGATTTCACTTCCGGTTTTGTTTTTTTTGCTCGAATTTCTGGTTCTGACAGTAAGGTTTTTGAGTTTCTGGATTTTGGCGAATTTGGGGATGATATTGGGGGTTTTGGATGGATTTTTTAGATTTTGGTGAAGTTGGGGATGATTTTAGGGGTTTTCGGATGGATTTTCGTGATTTTAGTGAATTTGGGGACGATTTTAGGGATTTTTGGATGAATTTTCTGCGTGGTTGCTCTCTATCGGTGCGATTGTTACTGATTTTGCTTGTCATAAAGCTTCACATAAATTCATGGCTATGTTCTTCATATGAATTATTTGCACAAATTTGATTGAGCTTGTGTTTGTTAACTTGTGTTGTTTTGCCGATCATAATTCATAAACACATCTTTTCTTCTGCATTACTTATGACAATGATTGACTGTTCTCTGAAATCTTTTCCTTTATTCACTGTTGTAAAACCGTACTAAACATCACTTTACATTTCGAAACAAAAACAAAAACCCACTCATAAAAACAAATTGGGATCTAACAACAAGTTTTCTTGATATTCAAAACACTTCTCATCTGGGGCTTACCTACATGCATAAATTTTCATTTACAGGCTTTTATATGTCTTTTGTTATTATCTTTTCATAGCACTACAGCCTTCTTCCTTTTGCATTTAGTATTCATTGGGAAATAAATAAAATTGCGTGAAATATTCAAAGAAAATGGTACCATGTATTTGTACTAATATAGTGCATGCAATCAGGTGGAGTTGTCAGCTTCACTTGCAGGCTGGCTACAGTTTAGAATTGGTGTCTTTATACATAGATTTGTCGTTTGCAACATTTTCATGTCAAGAAAAATGCTAAAATAAAATAAGTAGTATTTTTATTTGTTTGTTTGTTTTTTATTTATTTATTTTTTTGAGTTATTGTTGTTGAAGTAGTAATAACAAGTGTTTATTATTATTAGTACTCCTTCCGTCTAAAAAATAAATATTCATTTGTTTTTTACACGTAATTTTAAAAATATTAGTATTATATTGAAATATAGTAGGAATAAAGTAGAAATGACCAAAATAATCTTATTAGTATGCGTGATATAAAGACAATGACATTTGTGTAATATATTGTAAGTTGTAATGGTATTTGTAATATTAGATAGATAATACAGTCACTAAAAGAAGAAATTGATATTTTATTATGGATCATACTAAAATGAATACTGAAACGGAGAGAGTATTAGTATTACACTAATCTTTTCTTTTCAGCCCTCAAGTGAACCTAACTTTTTAGCCTTCTGAATGTGCAATTGAATGTTTTTTTTTTTGCACCTTTCTTGGAGACTGTGTTTGAGTATGTCACTCACTATTGAATTTTTTTATTGTTTGTTTGTGTCTTAGGTTCAATGATGTCTTCAAATTATATAATAGTATTATGATGATATTTAGTACCAAAGTATCCATTTAGGGTTGTGAACCTTTTATTTATTTTTTATTTTTTGAGTTTTATAAAATTTTAAAAATATTAGAATATTTGATATTTGATACAATGTATTTTTTTAAAATATTATTATTGATAAAAAATATTAAAAATTTTAAAGTGTATGTGTTTGTTTGTTTAGAAAAATAGTTTGGAGAGATATTTATTTATATAAAGTATAGAAAGATTGTTCGAGTAATATAAAAATAACGAGTATGTTTAATACATTAATTTTTTGGGGGAGAAATATATTTTTCATGAAAAGTAAATATAGCGTAATATATGTTCCAAAGGCAGAATTTTTAAAGGGGTGGGATAGGTCATGAACTTAGCCTTGTCTAAATTGTTCAAATTGCCGAAGATTACGGTTTGTCAAAATATCAAACCGACATCGAATTTTTCGAATGACGATTTCGATTATTATTTTGATTACGGTTTATAAACCGACGGTTTTGGTTTAAAAACTGTCGGTTACGGTTTGAACTGTCGATTTATATATATATTTAATTTTTTATATTTTTCTTTTATATTTTCTATTTTTTTTCTATATTTAAATTTTATTTTGAAAATAATTAAATTTGATTTTAATTTGATTTATATATATTTATTATGTAAAAATTATATATAGATAATTAATTAAATTATTACAATATAAAAATAATTAAAATAATAAATTTAATTAATAATTAAATTTAATTTTAAATTAAAAATAATTTATAAAAATATTGATGTAATAAATAATAAGATAATTTAAATTAAATATAATTATATAATAATAAAAACTAATATTATAATATTATATTTTTTAATATATTAATAATCATTTATATTATTAATATTAATTTTATTTTTATAAAATTTTACTAATCTATTAAAAAATTTATTATAAATATATTATTATTATTATACAACACACACAATTTTAAATTTTAACCTAATCAAACATTTACACATCACAGCCCGCCGCCGCACCGGTCATCAGGCTTTCTTCTTCTTCTTCTTCTCCTCCTGCTTCTTCTTTCCTCCTCTCCTCTTTCTTCTCTTCTTCTTCTCCTCCTCCTCCTTTCCTTCTCCCTCCTTCTCCTCTTCTTCTTCTTCTTCTACACTGCGTAGGAGAGATTTAGAAAAAAAAAAAAAAAGTAAACCGCCGGTTAGAAACCGAAACCGAACCGTGAATGACGGTTTCGGTTTGAACCGTAACCGGCGGTTCGGTTCGAAACCGAATGGGCAAGACTGCGAACTTGCAAAACTTGAGGCTTTCTTGTTAGTATTAGGATTTTAATATGACTTTTGTTTTTCATGAAAAAAAAAAGTTGTTAATTTAATTTTTGAAAACTATGTTCTGAATCTCCTACATATAACCTTGTTACCTTTTATAATAGCCATTGGATTATAATATATCGGTGGAGATTATAATACAATTGGATGCAAATATAAATTAGCCATCCATGTTGCAAAAAATTTTGAATTTTAAATTCGATGAAATAGATCTTGTTCCTAGTATAAAAATTACTACGATGAAAATAAAATTGACATTGTTGTCGATCCTTGGCTATTGCTGCAGAACATGCTTCATGTTTTATTACATTAGAAAGTGTACAAAATTATCGTATTGAAACTAAGTGTTATACACTTGTATGGATAATATCTCGTCGATTTTGAACCCTTACAGCATGGAAAGGATCCTCGAAAGATATGAAAGGTACTCGTACGCTGAAAGGCAGCTGAAGGAGCCCGATCTCGAGTCAACGGTTTAGTACACAAACACTTGTTATAATCTTTTCCATGAAAGCAAAACCTTAATGTACACATTTTTGAACAGGGAAGTTGGACCTTAGAACATGCAAAGCTTAAGGCTAGGCTGGAGGTCTTGCAGAAGAACCAAAGGTCGGTTAGGACAGCTAATTCGATTGCGATCATATGATCTTATGACAACAGTACTATGAACATATATGTGTTAATTATGTCTGCAGGCATTACATGGGAGAAGAACTCGACAACCTTAGCATGAAGGAGCTGCAAAACTTGGAACATCAACTCGATGTTTCGCTTAAACACATTCGAACTCGCAGGGTAATGTATCCCTTTATTTTATTTTATTTAGTTTTGAAGAATATAGATTTTGTGTTATCAATTAATAAACCTTTTTTTTTTTTTTTTTTTTTTGATGACGTCAATTAATAAACTTCGATTTTATATAATTGTGTCAAAACTATATATGTATAGTGTGTACACTACAAAATAAATAGTATATTTGTAACGGAATTCCGTTCCTAAAGTTCACGTAGCTAACGTAATTTCATCTCTAATTTCGTCTCTAATATCATTAGTAACGGAAAAAGTGAATTTATGAACAAAAAAACCTCGTTACAAAATTGATAATTTCTTGTAGTGGTATTTCAAATATGTAATTTTATTTTTATACACTATTCATCTATACAGATCGTTTTTTAAAATTCATCTATACAAATTGTTTTTTTAAAAGATGTTATATCAAATTTTTATTTTCTCTTACAAAATATTACATCAAAATACTTATATTTCATCGCAAACTTTTGTTGAATTTGCAATATCATCCCAATTTTCTTGTCTTATATATATATATGTGATGATTATTCTAGTGATTGATAATTGATTTTTATCTGCAGAATCAAATCATGAATGAATCAATTTCTGAGCTTCAGAAAAAGGTTTGATTATATTTTACTTATATGTTTTTCTTTTGAGAATTTTTTTTTATCCAATCACTCAATTTTTTTAAACAAAATATATATATATATACACACACATATTCTAACAACTATTTCATCTAAAAAAAATATATTAGCAAAAAAATACACACAAAAACCTTTTTATAGTGTATGTTAATGTAGATACGAAAATTTAAGATGGATATAATTAATAAATAATTAAAATATAATAATAAAAGTAATGTCCTTATAATAAAAATAGTTATAAATTAAAATTAAGATAACTAATCAGTTTAATTAAAATTTAAAAAATAAAAATAAGATTAAAATGTATATTTCTTTTTGAAAAAAAAAAGTGACATGAGGGATATAAATGTATTGTGGACACAATACATCGGACGAATGAAGTATTATATTTTTATTCCATTTTTTGTTATTACGTATTCCGTCAAATAAATTTTTTATCTGTCATTTTAATTTGTCCATATCAAAACTTCTCATTTTTTTTTAAAGAAAAAGTAACTATAAATTAAATACCAAAATGCCTATACATTGTACTTTTCACATTACTTATTAAGAGAAAAATAGATATTATAGTACTTTATTACGTTGGATATCTATAAAATATTAATTTATCTTAATCTGCGAGTAAAAGTCAAAATATTAGAGTTTAGGATTTATCAAGTTGTATGTTGACTAAATTAAATAAGGACATTGTTTATTTAAATGATTTTCTTTAAATATTTAAAAGAACATTATACTCCCACTGTCCCGCAAGAAAGTTGCCATTGACTTTTTGTGTGTTGATATTTGAATATTAATTATGATATCAATACGCAGTACAAATTAAAAAAAGAAAACAAAAATATATTTATTAGTCTCTTATAATACATATACAATGATATTTATCGAGTAAATTATTCAAATATAAGGATATTTTTAATGTTAAGTACAATGACGCAAAAACTAAATGGCAACCTTCTTGCGGGACGAAGGGAGTATATATATATATATATATATATGTGTGTGATTTGAAACCTATGCATGGATGCTTCACCTTGACCTAATATGAATCTCAGGACAAAGCATTGCAGGAGCAAAATAACTTGCTTACAAAGAAGGTATGTAAATATTCAATTTTTACCCTAACCCAAAATGCTAGATGCTCAATTTGATCGCAGTATCTTTTTTTTTTTTTTTTTTTTTTTTTTTTTATAAATTTCTTCGAACATATCTACTTTGATGTACTAATAAGAACTACATATATTTGCAGATCAAAGAGAGGGAAAAGGAATTGGGACTAACGACGAATTCGAGGGAACAACGGCAAAATCACGACGTGAACTCGACTTGTTACAGCCAACAGCAGCCTTTGAGCACCTTGAATGTCAGGTAATTTAATTTGATCGATAATATGGTAAAAGTAATGGAAAAATTATAAATTAAGCACCCCCCTATGTAATTTTCTTTTAAATTATTATTATTTTTCGAATTAAATTAAAATTTAGTATGGTAAAAAGAATTTATTTCCACTTAGAACAAGATTTTTTTTTTTAACAAATTTTAAAGGCAAACTTATTTATAATTAACCTACGGTTTGAAATGTCTATGTCATTATCTCTTATGGTTTAAAAATTGAATGAGTCTCTATTGTATTTTTGAAAATATTGCACTTTTTTTTTTTTTTTTTTTTTTAAGGCACTCTTTGCAATATTTACAAAAATATTTCCTACAAGTGGGATTATAAACAAAGTCTATAATTTTAAATAATTAATTATTTATCCAATAATAACATTTTTTCTCAATATTAATCGGATTTGAAATTTTTTAATTTAATTTGTTTATTAAATTATATAAATTATTTTTAATTGATTTAACAACATAGGTGAGATACACAATAATTAGGATCGTATACCAAATTAAACTTGCATATATATATATATATATATCTTTTTAATTATAAAAATTGTTATTCTAATCTTGAAAATAGCATTATTTATTATTTTGATCATTTAAGTAAATCATCTATGGAAATGGTTTTGTATTTACTCGTCACTCTAGTGGTTTTATATCGATAGGGTATGTGACATTCATGCGTACCTATGAAAAAATGGCACGTGACGAGTCTACAATGCGCACGTGTCATATGCAAATATAGAATTATTAATGTAAAAATAGTGTTGAATATGGTTTTAATAAAAAATGATAGTAATAATCTATTAAAATTTTTCATAGTGGAAAAATGGAAACAAAACAAGTAATATATCTTATTATTATTGTTGATAAAAACCTCTACCCGAACCTAATACCTGCAAACTATTCTTTACTATTTATTTTAAATTTAATTTTATTTCTTTAGTATTTTTGTGCATACTTTGTTCTAGTTAGATTATTGAAATTATTTGTGATTTGAAATTCATTTGAATAATATTTTGATTTCATATTTAATGAGAGAAAATAATATATTTTTATTAAAAATTATACAGATGAATAATATTGATTTTGGTTTAAACCAAACACACCCGAGTCGTTGTTTAGTTCTTATGTCACTATTATGCGACGAGGGTGAATTTATTTGGAATATAGGTTTTTTTTTATTTAAATAATAGTTTATATATATATACACGATATTTTATGAGATAAAATAATTTAATTTTATAGAAAATCGCACGCAAGAATACCCAAGTTTGAAAATAAAAGTCGCACATTTTACGCTCGATCCGGAGATAGCATAATTTTTTTAGTCGATGTATATATATATATATATACATATGACGTTCGTGCTTTTGCAGCCAAATGTATCTAGCGCCAGGAGAGAACAGTGGAGAAGTCGACGTGCCACCGGGACAACACCCGTCGTCGGCAAATTCAGTGATACCTTCATGGATGTTGCACCACACAGATGGCTAAAAACACTAAGAGGTAAAGACATCATCATTTAACAATATTGTAATGTACCAAAGCTTGCTTTGCCTATGTTGTCTTTGATCCATTTTCGAAAAGAATACTCGAGAAACATAAAATTCTCGATGAAAATATGGTAAAAAAGAAATTGAGAAAAAAAAAAAGTGAAATGGAGTATCATTATGTTATATGATATTTAGAAATAAGCTTGGAGGGATTTTGTCCCTTTAATCCGTTGTTGTTGTTGTCGTCGTTGTTTTTATACCGTGTCTTGTTACATGTGATGTATGTATTTAATGGTAAAAGTTTGTCCGTAGAATTGATGATATATTCTAATGTATGTGTTATTAGTGTGTCTTGACTCTCAATTGTTCAAAATTTGGGGTTTGTTTGGATGTACTATGTTATACTAAAAAAATATATAATTTTATTTAAAAAAAAATAGATTATATTACAATTTACAATACAGTTTAAATAAAATATGAAATAGAAAATTCAAACTCAAACAAAAACTAATTCCATTGGATTTATTTTGAAAATAATAAATATTTTTAAATAAAATATATATTGTTATGAGAAAACAAATAAAGAATACAGAGATTTTATTTCGGGTATTTGAACTTATGACCTCACATTCATAAGTCCAACTCCACACCATCTCTTACGGAACAACATTTCTAAATAATTTTTGGTTTATTAACTTAGGGGTTTGTTTGGTTTTAATTTGAAATGGGAGTTTTGATTTAATTTTAATTTTAAAAATATTTTATTATAATAATTTTCAAAGATATAAGTGATTAAAAACCAATATAAGTGATTTAAGCTTGAACCAAAAAAATCATACGTACCCAAGTTATTATAAGTATAATGTAATTTTCTATAAAAGTATGCTACTATTATTTTTTATATCACATCCAAAATGCTTTTCAAATAAAATAGAATAATTTTTTTAGAATGAAAATCGTAGAAAATTGCGTTTCCGCACTCCAAATTGATTGACGGCAATTTCATTGACGGCGGACATAAACGATGGCGACTCCTCCGGCGGCTCTGGCCATCTTCTCGGACAACAAATTCTCTTGCGAAATAGCACCGAAACAGCCTCGAACAGCTTCTTCCCTGATCCGCCCAAATCCTTTCATCCAAATCCAAATCCAAATCCAAACCCAAACTTAAACCCTTATACCCTTTAATCCCAATCCCAAATCTTTACTCAATACGTCCACGAAAACCGATTTATTTTAGGTTGAACACCGGCGTATTTGGACAAGAAGGATGAAAAATCTGATGAATATTTAAACACGACTGTGTTTGATTCAAATTAAATGATACTTTAGTTTATGTTACCGCGCGGTTGATATTTCAATGGTGGTATAAAAAAATAATACTCTCTAAAAGGTCACATTTACGTTTTACGTCATTATATTTAACATTAAAAATATCATTATATTTGAATAATTTTACGAATTTACTTATTAGTATTATAAGACACTGATGAAAATATTTTTGCAATTTTTCTTAATTTACACTTACGTTTTGATATAATAATTAATATTTAAAAAACCACATGCAAAAAGTAAATGAGATCCTTAGAGCCCGGACGGATGTAATAATAATTTTTGTTACCGCCATATTAGCCCCGCTAATATTTCAGTGGTGGGACCAAAAATAATAGTAGTAATTTATTTTTTGGTATAGGACCAATTTTATTATTATTTTTTGGATGAGATCAAAATTAATAATAATTATAATAAATATTAATTTTTGCTATGGTAAAAGGTTTGGTTAGGTCCGGTGTACTGATTAAAACATGTCCCCAATTTGTACCCATAAATTGACCAGACGCACAAACAAACAAGACGTCGTGATTGCAACTCATATAATAATTTTATTATACTCAAAACACCTAACCAAAATATTACGACAAAACAGAGAAATTCTTTTATTATTATTATTATTATTATTATTACTCCATGATTTATTCTCTGTTGCAACACTCACTTTTGCATCCTTCTGTTGTGATGTTAAAATATTTCTTTACATAATTGACTGTAACTATACAATGTGTGTAATACAAAAGTTTGTTTCTTCAATATATATATATATATATATATTTTTAACCTGAGGCATAAGAAATTAGGTTGATAATATAAAAAATAATATTCCCTCCGTCTGACTAAAAATCTAATTTAGTTTTTACATTATTGTATTTAATATTAAAAATATTCTTATAATTCTATAATTTTACACAAATGTATTTTTCCCATAATTTACAGATGAAGTTAGTATGTTATGCTATTGAATATTACTCCCTCCCTCCGTCCCGGCTACAGTATCCTTTTACTATAGACACGATAATTTACGAGAGGAATAATTAGTAAATAATTATGAATATATTAGTGTAAAACAATTATCGTATTGTAAAAATAATTTTAGATTAAGATAACTAATTAATCTAATTAAAATTTTTTAAGAATTAAAATGTATAATTCTTTTATATATATATATATCATGTAGGTAAAAAATTTATTGACCAAACAAACCTATTGTTCCTTATATAATATACAAGATGCTAATCCATCCATGCCACAAAAATACATTTAATTAAAACAATAAATAGTATTTCTAAGGTCAATTTCCATGATGACAAGGCACAAATGAAGACATTAGAATAATTTCAACAACCAGCCTAATAATTCAGAGAGGTATGCACGTTCATTGACACAATCAAAAACCAACTTTCTAACACTACACTTCCTCTACTAACATCTCTAATTACCTTAAAAACAGACACACACATATATATACACATATATACATACACATGTATAGACAGACAAGTTTCACACAGAGCACAAAGACATACAGATTTTTTAGAAGCGTTACCTTGAAGATGAAGTTAAGAACAATGACGGGACTGCGAATGAGCCGAGCTGCCGCGACGCGAATCTGCGCCCGTGTCCATACGTATATCCGTTCGCCAATACAGCACCGCAAGAAGACAGCAAGTTTTATTAAGACAGGAGATAATTCTAGGATTTCGAACGAATTCACTTCAAGAAATGAATTATTACCAGAATCCGGGAACAGAGTCATGGTCGTGGTGGATTCGAGCGCTGAGGCCAAAGGGGCTCTCGACTGGGCGCTGTCTCACACTGTTCAGAGCAACGATATACTCATTCTCTTACATGTAGCCAAACAAGGTAATAAAGATAACATATTTATCTACATTTATAAAGTGCTCGGACATAATTTATCAGTTATTCGACTAATGGTTCTGCATGTTTCAGACGAGGGAGAAAACAATCAAAGGGCGTATGATCTTCTTCGCGCAACAAAGAATAAGTGCCAACTAAAAAGACCAGAGGTAAATAGACATATTACAGATAATGTTCTTCGATCAAGACATGGTTCAATGAAGCAAGATCATTACATAATATAAACATTTCAAACCATAGTGAAATTCAATCGATGACACTATAAGATAACGACAAATTCTTGTTCTATCATGACCTAGGTGCAAGTAGAAATGGCATTTCGGGAAGGAAAGGAAAAGGGAGCGGCGATTGTGGAAGAAGCTAAGCGATTGGGAGTATCGCTGCTGGTTTTGGGACACAGAAAGCAATCATTCCTAAGGCGTTTGCAAACTATATGGTCGAGGAAACGGAGCAGAAGCAGGGTTGTGGATTACTGCATTCAAAATGCTAATTGCATGACAATTGCAGTGAGAAGGAAGAACAGGAAATTCGGAGGATATCTAATCACAACAAAACGCCACAAGAAGTTTTGGCTTCTGGCCTAGCAAAACATTTGGTGTTCTTAGTTCGAGTTTTTCGCAGTCATAGGAACGATCAAAGCAAGGAGAATGTCGCTAGACAAGCAAATGAGTAGAGCTTGAAAGGAAGACATTCTTTTCGATTCACATTTCCTACATTCTAAAGAAAAATTAGAACTTCATTATATCATACTTGTACCTTATATCACGTTCAATTTTGCGTCTTCATAAGCCATGATCTGCAAGAAAAACGAAGCTTTGTTAAAAATAATACACGATTAAAATTGATTCGAGGGACTGAAAATGAGAAAGCGCAACGTACCTGTTTAAAGCGTGAGATCTTCAGAACTTCAAACAGAGTAGGTATAGTATTATCTAGAACAGATGCACAACTATTTGACACATCAACAAATCTCCATGACATAATTAAACGAAATTCCGACAGATATCACAAGATACAATAGAGAATCTACCGTAAGAAATTCAGCTTCTGGCCATAACTAATCTTTCGTTAAACAGCACAACTAATAAGATTAAGCTATTAGAACTGTACAGGTAACATATAGTTTATTTATTTACTTTACAATGCAAATATGTATCCATGCTTGAGCATGCATAAACACGTTAGCAAGAATGAACGAGCCAAAAAACAATTATGTGCACTTCAATAGAAAATCAAATTCTAACTGGATTCTTCGGTGGAAAGATGAATTCAACACAAGAATAATCCCCTTATCAGCCAATAAACTCCCATTTCCTTGATTTGAGTACCTGGTCAGAGGTTACATCTTCGATCTCCCTTCCATGGTCCAGCAATGAAGGAAAAGACCTTAATCAGGTTTTTCATGATGGTTTGTCGCACTTCACCATTCAACAATGAGAAATGATGCAAATCCGCAGATTCATTTGAATGCTTTCTGAGAGTTAAAGCTATATTGAGGTCTATATACAATTCTGCACAGCTGGTCATATCCCGCAAGTACTCCAGCCCCAGCCACACCAAGAAGCATGTTAGCTGTTACTCCTCTGAACAGAGCTGTAAAACCTTCAGCATGAATAATCTGGTGAAAGGCGTGCATGGCACTGCTGTACTTCACTGGTTGTCCGGAGGTCAGCATCATTCTTCGTCGTAGGGTGTCAAAAGGGTAGGCACAGACCCCAGAAACAGTGGTCACACTCCAACCCAAGAAAAAGCTAGCGAAGAAATTGTCCTGACAAATAAAGTAGTTGTTAAGTCCTTGTCTCGAACTAGTAAACAACATCCAAGGCAAAAAAATGCATATAATATACATTCAAACTTCAAAAGAATGTAAATGATTAAAAAATGGGTTCAATGTATGACATACACTAGTTACAACGCATTGTATGTTTTCAAGAACACACCATGTTATGTAAAACTAAAATGACAAGATGACCGCTAGGAAAAGTTTTATTATGTAAACCACTATGAAATGAGATTCGCTAACCTGTAATTGACCAACCAAAACAATAGGCTTCAATGTGTCATAGATCCCAAAATACATTCCTCGGTAAAGTGTAATTCCCAATATTGAAACCCCAAACCCCCGATAGAGACCTGGGATTCCATCTGTAGACAAGGTTTTACAGTATACATCTACTAGTCCATTGAATTGCCGCTTTCCATTGATAGGGCATATCCTAGCATCCGTGCCCAAACGAGTCCGTGCATAATCTAGGTGATAAAGAAACAAAGAAGTAGTAGCCCCTGCAGCACTTCCCGAAGCCACATTCCCGGCAAACCACTTGATGTATCCATCTCTCTCTCTTGAACAACCAAAGAGACTTTTAAAGTAGCCCTTAAACGCAAAATTAAAAGCCTGCATGAAAGTGTGCATATGATATGATTCATGAAGAGAAAAGAAGATTGCAAAACAAGACAAAATATAACTGTCACGTGATAAAAGAAAAAATTGCTTCGATCTTCTATGTGCATGTAAGATGAGACAAGATGTTCTTCATTTTATTCTTCTAATTATGTATGTGCCTCGGTGAATACTTAAGTCAACCTGCAAATCATACAACATTTAATTTCTTTTACAGTTATCCAGTCTCCTAGTGATTCGAGCACTTCAAAAAAGTCAGAAAATTATGTTACATGATTCTGCAGTACACCCAATCAGCAAGCAGAACATCTCAATTTGAAACATGAAGAGAAGACACCGAACTTAGACAACTATAACAATAGGGTATTCTACAGATCATTTTCATATATCATAATGAAAAGACAACATGTACCAAAGGATCTCCTGAGAATTTAAAGATGCCAAGTGTATTCACCTAGGAAGTTAACAGATTTGTCACGAAATACAAACTCATTCATATAAAGGATTGTCATGCAAGGAATTTCCTCAAATTCAAATTTTCTGGAAGTTAAGGAATGTGACACTTTTGCACAAAAATTAAAGGAGACAAGGCCCGATTGACAAATGCAAACATGCCTGAGTAGGAAAATATCTAATGACATTGGCCTGGTTGCCCCTCCAAAATGAGTAAATGCCCTCCTCCCGGAAGAGCCTCTGGAAGCAATCACCAACCCCAACATAAGGCTTTTGAAGCTGTCCCCTCTTCAATAATTCTCCTTGATTCTGCAACAAAAGCTTAACCCTTTCAATTGGAGCTGCGGCACTTTTTGCTACGACAGCTGCAGACCCTCCCATGAAGAAATCTAAGGAAAACTTTTCAGATGGCTTTGCCATCACAGGCCCTCCCTCCCTTTCCCCAACCATTCCTGTCAAAAGTTACAACTATTAAACCATAGGTATGCAAGAAATTTCCGGCACTTAGCTTAATTTATTCACTATTTTTCATCCCCCAGTGATGAACCTCTACTAATAATATCGAAAAAGTTGAAGCCAACTATAAAATTAGAGGAATTTAAATGTTAGCATGATAACTAGACAATCCCAAATGATAAATTACAATTCAATTCGGCTATACTCAACTTGTAATACACTGTAAGCAATTCTCCATCAAGAAAAAGTATGGGCAATCTTCACTCATGAATCCATTATTCCTATAACTAATTTCGATGACAGCCGTGCTCTCAAACAAGAGAACACTCTCTAGAGCATTCATATAAATAAAACATCAAATAACATATCTCCAATCGACGCTAGAGGTGAAGAATAACACTGCTAAACATAATATGGAGAAACCAAAACCGTAGACCTGTTAACTCCAAAACGAATTACAACAATTGCTTCAACATAATTCCAACCAAAACATGCCATTATCTTCAGCCTAAATACCTTCCCATTGCCAAACAGGTTCAACCTACACATATTGCTCGAGTTACAAACTGAAATCCGAGACATTGATAACCAAACATTAAGCCTGCATCAATCACATACACACGCTTCCCAATACCCTTTCTAACTCTTCAAACCCTAATCGAGTCCTCAAATTGTCCATCGAAAAATAACCGTGCAATTACCATTATCAACCGAAAATTAATATTCATTGCGGAGTAAACAAAGAATAAACATCGAATTCATTAATGATTCCTCCATAAATTTTACCTCCAGGAATTTGGGGCGCCAAGGGATGAAGGTTAAAGGTATATTCTCTCTTCTTTGCCGCTCTTGTATTGAATAAAATTTCATATTTTGATAAACATATGTGTATTTATATCTATGGATCGAAAAGATTCCGTTTAACGTCCGCCTCTTTAATTCTATTTTAAGCATCGCTGAAAATAATTGATACAGAATTATTCTGGTTTCGTTTTAAAATTATTTTTTAAATCGAAATAATAATACGGAGTATATATTTTGTACTATAGTGTCAACGCAGTTTGATGCACAATTTATAATAAAGTGTCAAACCTCATTTAGTCACAGGGTTGCTTTGATTTCTACTTTAATTTAAATTTTTATTTAAATACTATTATTTAAAAAAAAGTAACATGCACGGTCATAACATTCATCCTACTTATATTATCTCTATTTCGGATGCTTCGGTGGTACAACACCAATATAGACTTGGCCAAACCGCTTAAACCGTCGGTTACGGTTTGTTCGAATTTCAAATTGAAATTGAATTGTCCGAATGACGATTTTGATTACGGTTTGACGATTTCGATTACGATTTATAAATCGACGGTTTCGGTTTGAACCGTCGATTTATATTACTTTTTTTTTCTGATTTTTTCTTAATATTAATTTTTACTATTAATTTTGATTCCGATTTTAATTAACTAAATCTTTGTATTTTTGTGAAAAATTATATAAATAATATTTCGTTTTTATAAAATAATTATTTATCAATTTATTAATTAATAATTAAGAATACAGTTATAATTTATACAATTGTTTAATAAGTTAATTTTTAAATTAAATCACACTATTGCAAATTTAGAATTATTTTAAAAAAAACCGCCAAAAGCTTCGGTTTCGGTTCGAACCGCCAGTTTGTTCCATCAAATATCGGCCGTCGAATCTGCATAAATTAATTTTGACCGTTCCTTTTAAAAAAATAAACCCACTCAAACCGTCGGTTTGAAACCGAAATCGGCGGTTCGAACTGAAACCGCCGATTTAAGGAGGCATAATTTTACAAATATATATATATATAATTTTGTCTAAATCTGCGATTTACAGTTTAGTTCAAACACAAACCAAAATCGAACCGTCGAATTGACAGTTTCGGTTTGATTTGAGCTCAATTTCAGTTCAAACCAAAACCGCCTGTTCGTAAACCGGACAACTGACGGTTCGAACCGGCGGCTCCAAACCGAATGAGCAAGTCTGCACCAATATTGCTATCAAATATGTTAGGCAAACTTATGTTACCATCATATAAGTACAGTAAAGATGGTACGATAGTTTGAGGTGAATTTTTAAGATAATATTACAGGGTCAAAGCTTCAACGCCTTCAAATTCACGTGTCATACATGATTGTGTGCATAGGCCCACTTCCGCTTCATTTTACATTATATATTATTACATTATTCACTTATCTGTCAACGAGTTTTACATCGCAACCTCACGAAAGTTACAAAAATAAAAAAAAAAAAAATAGGGAAAGAAAAGGGGATTCCAATTATTTTTCTTAAAAAAAAAAAAGGAAAAAGGAAAAACCAAGCACGTGCTAGTCATGTGAGGTTGATACCCGTCTTTTATTAGCACTGGCAAAGCTGCTCCCTAGAGTAAGAACACTTCGCACATAACACAAGGCCAAGGGGGAATTAATTCAATGCAAAAGGAATGCCATTTCAGTATCACTCCCAATTTCATCAATGCTCGCTAGGATTTTGGAATTCCTGAACTCGCCTCTGCATTGATTCCTCGTTCATCCTCGATTCCGCGCTGATTGCTGCTGCTGCGGCGGCGGATCACCTGACCGACCGACCACTTGCTGCGTTTCCATTGGCGCCGGCGGAGTCGGTTGGTTAATTATCGCCTTTGATGAGTTTTGGATGAACTTGTTGATTTGGAGGCGCGGGGATTTTTCGAGGATTTATTGATCCGGAGGCGGATTCGGTTTTATTTGTATATTGAGTAATCGGATTGGCGCTTGATCGGATCTGATTGGGGGAGTTGCGTTCCGTGTGGCGAAATATGCGGCGGCGGGCGTCCGACTATCGGCGCCCGGTTAGAAGGAAGCTATCGTGCTGGATCTGGGCGGTTTTGGTGCTGTTCTTCGTTGTAGGTGCGATTTTGTTTGCTGTGCAGCCAAGCTTCCACGGCAGAGATCGTGTGGAGCAACCTGTTTTGGTAAGATTCGTCTGAGTGAAATTCACTATCTCTAATTGTGTGTTGTTTTGTGTTTTTTCTAGTTGTTTGTTGCATGATTTGTTAGTTTTTGTTACTCCTTTGGTTTGAATGAGTGCTGCATGATTTTGAAGATAAAAAATGTTCAATTGCTTGTAAACTGAAGATCAAATGCTTGTCATTAGGGTTTGGTGAACTTTAGTATCAGTTTAGTTAATGTTTGTCTTCATTGTTGAATGATTATCATGGAATTAGGTGTTTGAGGCTTTGCAAATTGTAATGGATTTGCAGTTATAATTTTGTGCAAAATTCACATTGTGGTGTAGCAACCTTATTCAGGATTAAATTCATATTTGAGATGAATAGCAGCCCTGCTGATATGCTGGTTCGTTCCGTCGGCAGAAACTAGTCGATTAGATAATATAATTTAGGTCTGATTTTCTACTTAGTGAATCTGTAGTTGGTTTGTATTCTGGCATGAAATTTTTTGTTGGAGTAACTAGATTGGCTGATAGTTGTGTTGGTTTAATTGCCTGCGATGATCATCTAAGGTGAAGATTAAAACTAGTGACATTTTCTTGTGTTGATACATATATTGTGAAAATTTATTAGAGGTTGGACTTATGTTGAAGACATTAATACATTTCAATGTTGAAAAGGATATTCGGGAAGCAAGCAATAGTATTGAATATCCTTCTTTGGATTGCCAAGTTTTCAGTACAAGCTAATTTGCTGATCATAGGAGAGTAAGATAGTGAATTAATCCTTGGCACCCTGGATACAATTTTCTGTTGTTTTGACTATATAATAACGGGAAATTTGGAGCGGATTGGTTGTTTGAAATACTAGATGAATGTTGGGACATGTTTATACGGAAACTAAAGAATAGTGAAAGATCAATGGGCATCCATAGACTGTGCTTTAGAGGTTCAATCCTTTTCGACACTACAGTGATGACGTTCTTGGATCATTTCTTGCATTTATTGTACGGTTTTATTTATTTATTTTTATCTAAACTAGTGTTTCCCTGCATGTTAGAGATTTTAATAGCCAAGTAGATAAGCATCTGCCATAGCCTTTATAAATTTGTAGATAGCTCCCTTTAAATCGACGTAACAAAACCGTAAAGGTTTTGAATTTAGAGAGTACAAATGATTTGTTACTGTTTTACTCCATTCCCTCGGTGATTAGTTGATTTTAATACAATTTAGAATCCGACATCTGTAGGAAAAAGCAAGTTTAGTTTGTACCCGATTCTTGTGAAAATAATTCCTTTGTCAATCACTGAATCTGCAGAGCATCATCATTATGGGTTCGATCGATCGTGTAGGTCATGTTATATAACTTGAATGTTTTCTTGCAATGTGTAAACCTCGAAAAAAGTCAACTATAGCTAAAGTTATAGCTTAAACTTGCTTCGAGTTTTTCTAAAAGGAACTAAGATCAGAGTATCTTAAGTTTGACATTCTGCATTTCATTCTTATATGCTGTTAAGTATTCGACTGTTTCTCACGATCTGTTACATCAAACTTTAGATCTTTCCCGTGCAACAACAAAGTTACCGTGCTTATTTCTAAACTTTTCCTTATTTTCCAGGAGATAAATCCCAGAAATGACCGAGCTGTTCACAATAGTCGTAACACAACCGAAGAGATAGCCATCGCCGGATCATACGCGAGACAATTATCCGAGCAAATGATCCTCGCCAAAGCCTACGCCATTATCGCAAAGGAACACAACAATCTCCATCTTGCTTGGGAGCTCAGCTCAAGGATAAGAACTTGCCAATTACTTCTGTCGAAAGCCGCAAAGAGACAAGACCCCATATCTCTCGAAGAAGCCGAACCGATCATCGAAAGCCTGTCGACCCTAATTTTCAAAGCTCAGGACGCTCATTACGACATCTCAACAACGATGATGACCATGAAGAACTTCATCCAGTCGTTGGAAGATCGCGCGAATGCCGCCACCGTTCAAAGCACCGTTTTCGGACAGCTGGCCGCCGAGTCGATGCCCAAGAATCTCGAGTGCATTGACATCAAACTCACATCTGATTGGCTGAAGAACAAGTCGATATCGAATCTAGCAGAAGAATCGAAGAACTCTCCCCGGCTCGTCGACAACAATCTCTACCACTTCTGTATATTTACCGACAACGTTGCAGCCGCATCTGTCGTCGTTAACTCGACCGTCTCCAACACCGACCACCCAAAGCAGCTCGTGTTCCACATCGTGTCGACCGGGATAAAGTACGGCGCAATGCAGGCTTGGGTCCTTAGCAACGATTTCCGAGGCGCGACGGTGGAAGTTCGGAACATCGAAACGTTCGATTGGTTGAACGAGTCGTATTCACCCATCGTCAGACAACGGGAAAACATCGCGGGTACAAGGAAATACTACTTTGAAGGCTTCGACGCCGACGATGAGCCCAAGTTCCAGAACCCGAAGTACGTCTCGTTGTTGAACCACCTCCGCTTCTACGTCCCGGAGATTTTTCCGCAGCTCGAAAAGATCGTCTTCCTCGACGACGACGTCGTCGTCCAGAAGGACCTGACGCCGCTCTTTTCGATCGACCTGCACGGGAACGTCAACGGTGCAGTCGAAACGTGTCTCGAAGCCTTCCACCGGTACTACAAATACCTAAACTTCTCGAACCCGATTATCAGCACCAAATTCGACCCGCAGGCGTGTGGGTGGGCGTTCGGGATGAACGTGTTCGATCTGATCGCCTGGAGAAAGGCGAATGTGACGGGTAAATATCATTACTGGCAGGAACAAAATGTCGACAGGTCACTTTGGAAGCTCGGTACTCTCCCGCCGGGGCTTCTGTCGTTCTACGGTTTGGTTGAGCCTCTCGACCGCAGATGGCACGTCTTGGGGTTGGGATACGACCCAAATATTGATGCCCGGACGATTGAAACGGCAGCGACTATACATTTCAATGGGAACATGAAGCCGTGGCTGAAGCTGAGCATTGCCAAGTATAGGCCTCTTTGGGAACGGTACGTGAATTTCGAACACCCGTATTTTCAAGAATGCGCTATAAGTTGATCGATTGATCGCTCGATCGTAAATGCATGCATGCATGGATTCTTGAATTGATTTTTCGTAATCGATCTGATCAAATCGACCGTATGCGCGGATTCTTGAATAGTTTTCGCGTAGTCGACATTCGCCGTTCGATCGATCCATTGCCGCTTGTCGGGACGTTTTTGGACATATATATATGTGTAGAATTTTAGAGTATAGAAGTTTTGAGATTGGTACGGTTTGAAATATATTGTTGTTCTTCTCACGCCTATTCATTGTGGGGAATAATTTTTGACCTAAACAAGATCAAACCTTATTCATATTGTGCTCTATTACTACTTGTGTTGGGTTTTGCAATTTGGCTTTTTTTTTTTTTTTGGCTGTATTTAGTCTACCAAAAGATACAGTCTGATCGATTTTGATTTAAACAATACTTTAGTGCGATGCTTTGTCAGAAATTTTTTTTAAAAATTAATTAAATATCCTTAATTATAAAGATTTAAATCTAATAAAAAAAATAAAGTCCATGTTAAAAGGAATATCCGGTAATTTTTATGTAAAATAGTGTATGTTTTTTTAATATCTGAAGTCCATATTTAATAAAAAAAAAAGGAACTATGTCTATTGTTGTTGTTGGTGGACAAAGAAACTAATTTATATATAAATTTTCAAATTCAAGAAATCTAAAACAAACGAGAATTGTAACAAAAACTGTCCATATTTCACGGTTACGTTAGATCGGGTCGAAAAATAGATACCTATAGTTGAGATCGACAATAAAATGGATATATTATTTTGAATAAACTCGGACAAGGGAATAACACAAGTCAGCAGATAATAATAATAATAATAATAATAATAATAATAATACTTCCAATTTTTTTTTAAAAAAAACTTTACAATATCTATGTAAGTATTATAGTGGTAGTGGTAGGTTGAATTTTAAGTTTTAATTGAAAACGTTAAAAATGGTACAAACAAACGCAGACAGAGGAGAGGTGGTTGAAGAACCATAATTTTACTTAATTAAAACATTAAGACAAAAACAACCATCAATAGCCACACATAACTCTCTATCAATTTCAAAATAGTGCCCATTAATGGTCTCTCTCTCTCTCTACCCCCTCTCTCTCTCTATACATACATACATACATATATATATATCAATAATTTTAGTTGTTTTTGATAGGCAACGCAAAAATCCCCAAAAATTCATCCCATACCATGAATGCATGTAATAACTACATCATATGAACGTTATGCCTCCCCCCTTTTAAATGCCCCCACAAATATTTTTCCTATCTTCTTTTCAAATTTAAAAATCCTCCATTTATACTCTCTCCCCCTCTCTCTCTCTCTCTCTCTCTCTCTCTCTCTCTCTCTCTAAAAGCATCATTTTTGTCCACAGAGATATATAATAGCAAAAGTGCAGAGAGATTCTTGTGAAGAAGAATGAGCTCAGAGTCACAATGCATTGCCACGCCAAGTTTGTGCCATGGAAAGTAAAAGACTTAGCCTCTTGCTTCCATTTCTGCCATATTCCCTTAGGTACACTAACTCATCCAACACTATTCTATCGCCCCCCGTCGAAAATTCGACCCCCCCGGGGACTCGAATTCACTACTCGAGTAAAAAACTTTCATTTTTTCGACATTAGAATCCTTCTTAGATCATCTAAGAAAGTGTGTGTGTCTGTCTATCTATCTAAAAGTCTATCTATCTATATATATGTGTATCTAATTGTTCGAGCACTTTTAGTTTCAGATAAAGAACCCGACATCTGCCTCAGCAAACCAAGGCTACAAACTTCAAAAGGGAGCAAGGTGTTCGACTCGAAAAGCGGGTGTAAAAGAAGTGTCAAAGAGTCAACAAATGCCAAGAAATTGTGCAATGTTGAAGAGGGAGGAGGAGAATCAGTCGAGAGAAGTTCCCATCGGTATAAAGCCGGGAGGGCGCGAAGGGAGGCTGCATTTTCAGAGGAAGATTACATAGTTTTCTGCTTCCGAGAGGACGGAAAAATGCACTTGATAGATGAAGAGAATTCATCCGAAGAATGTCAACAAAACAATGAAGAAACAAAAACTACTGCTGATGCTTCTAACACATCACAGGGCAATAAAAAGGTTCGACCATTCTTTTTCCTTCAATATATATATATATATATGTACGTATGTATGTATAGATATTTTTCTTCGACCCTTTCGTTTAATATATCGCAAAAAAAAACCAAACAGAAGCTATAGGTTCAACTATTTCGCCCTAAAAGTAGCTATTTTTATAAATGATCAAACATGCCTAAATGTTTCTCTAATTTTCTTATAGCACGACGAAAAGGGAAGCAATAAAATGTGCACTAAATGGCCACCAGATGAAGACAGAAAAACAAAAGACGTCGAAAGCCATGTAGACAAAGGAAATGAAAGCAAAACATACCCTTTAGATTCCGGTGCTTCGAGTCAATCCGAGGGCAGCAGCAGCACAGGTTCTTTCACCTTCCCTGAGTAAGTAATCTTAAACCCAAATATACATATATGCATATATATATATATATATACTGTGCATATAATATATTAATCGGATAGGTCAACTTATGCTTACAATTTACATGCAGAGTGGGCACCGAATGGACAGGAAGCCCCGTTCACATGCCTAGAGCAGAAAAGCTGGAACAAGAACAATTTCACAACATCCTACATTGTTATAGATTTTAACTATTTGTTATCTACAGACAAAAAAAAAAATGTTGCATAGAATTTTCGAAATTATAGAATTGCTTTCACTCACAGTGGTTGGATATGCTAGAATTCTGTTATTTGCAATAACCGACAATCAAATTTCATTTGTCTTCTATTCTAAAAAGGGGCAATTATTGCACACATAAAACATGCATGCCAAAAGTAGCAAATACTTAACGCAGGCCGACATGTGGCAAATAGAGAAGCATAAGTGCAGTATGTACAAAAACCTACAAAATATTAAAGAAGCAGATAAGAAGCAAAAGTAACAAAAGTTTTATCCAGAGCCCATTTTTTATTTTTGTTTATTTTTGTCAGCAAAAAGTTCGAAATTAAATTCTATTAAGAGAGTGCAGGTACTGCTTAGTTACGATACCATAAAGTCACAGTGGATTAAATAGAATGCAAATCTAGTTGTTAAATTATGATCCCAACTAACATAAATTCGACAGTGTAGATCATTTAGGAATATAATGAACACACAACCACTCATTAATGAAAAACCATCAGAATCATTTAAAACAACCTTACATTTGTGGGCTACTGGTAAATGAGTAGTGTTGCATCTGGCAACCTAATAATAGTTCATCACTCTTGCTCGGGATTAGGTTTGTGAAGCAATGAGGGACTGGAGATGAAATCTTGCACTTGCAGCAGCAGCTATCGATTCTTCATTTTGCCTTTCCTTTGCAATGGCCACAGCAGTAATATAAGCTTCTCTTGCAGCTTCTAGCTTCTGTACATCCATTTCATAATCCTGCTCGATTTAGTCAAGTTAGATTGACGTAAGATAATAATATAAATGAGTTTTTTCACTTGGTACTGAAGATTTAAATTTCACCAGCAGAAGTATATTTACATGTATAAATAAGATCAATTCACAGAAACTCAAGAGAATGGTTAAGGTAACCAAGAAAAGCATATATTGATATAAGATCGGTGGTTTGAAGCCTGTAGCGGGTGAAAAAGATTTACCAATTCACTGTTATCATCAAGTGGATAAGAGACATCATCATAATCTTCAGGAGACATCTCGACATCATTCCTTGTCAAGCTTTGAATAAATAGCATGAAAGATGAAATCTCTCCTTGTGCTTTGTCTAGATCTTCCTGGAGCTTCTCCACTTTTGACTTAGAAGTTACGGCCTCCCATTGTAATTTCTCCACAGCAGCTTGTTTGTCAGCAAGTTTTATCTGTAACAAAATATCAAAATACGCTATATGAGTATGGAATATTCTTAGAACAGTGATGAACATTTGTGTAGTGTGCTATGACAAAATCTCATTAACGATTTGTTAGACAATCATCTTCCCTCTATTCATAGGTTCAAATATACTCTTTCGGGTAGCGGATGCGGATTCCCACGTCATAAAAAAAAATATATACTGCATCAATACTTTTCCTCCGTCCATCGCCAAATATCAAACAAATTTAATCATGAGAAAGATAGATATTCACTTCTTAGTCACTTGCTAAATCAAAGCTTTATAAAAAGGGGCTCAATGTTAATTCAAGAGTAAAAGTATCACCAGACGAGAGAAACAAACAATCCTTCTAGCCGTTGGTTATTTCTGTTTGGTGTCATTGATATAAAATGCATCAGGAAAAAGCAGAAGAGAGAACTGAGCTAACCCGAAATCCATACAGAGAGCATATGCTGAGATAATGTGGAGGATATTCAGCTCGAATGTCACGAGCACACACAGAAAAGGTAACTCAATGTACCAATTAAAGGGGGGGAAATGAAAAGTAGGGTTTCAAGAGACCTTTAAATCAGACAGCTGTTGATGAGTGGACTTGATCAGTGAGTCCTTTTCAGACACTTCAATCGTCAATTCATCAAATTTGGTTTGAAGGGAAGCCATTTCATTCTTTGCAAGTTCAGCAGATTTCAGAAGTTCATCTTTTTCTGATATTTGCCTCTTAAGATCCTCTACTTGATCCCGCAAAGCTACAAGTTCTTCTCTGTCCTTTTCAGAGAGCAAGGAACCTGAAGACCGGACTGAGAAATTCTCAGCACATCCGTCCACATTGTTAGCTGCATTGTAGTTTTGGTCCTTGTCTCCCCGGTCCCTATTTTTTTTGCTTGCAGCACTTTTTCCAGTTGCCTGCAATAAAATCGACATCAGCATCAAAGAAAAACGTCATAATTATATTATATTGAAAATTGTTATATTGAAATAAACTACAACTATATTTACAGCACCCCAAAGTTTCTACTTAATGATCATAATTGTTTTCTATAAGCAAATAATGCATAACACAAAAATGCAAGCATCACCCTCTGATGAAAATCACATCTCTTTGACTCCCTCTTACGATTTGAAAGCTTTGATTAACAACAATGATGGTATCATCTACAAAACTATGTTTGTTTCATGCATTTTTTGAGGGCAAAGGAAAATAAAATGAACCCCCCAAACCCCCCCTCCCCCCCCCCCCCCCCCCCCCCCCCCACAAAAAAAAAAAACGAAGAAGAGGCAAAAACATTGACAAAATTCCCATTGATGAAGCGAAAACTATGTTCATTTTTTCCTTTCCTTTTCCTATCATTTTTACGCGGAAGCAAATCTTGCATCTATTAATAATCTTCTTTCTTATTGTACTTATCTTACTCTACCTTACAAACCAAAAACATAAATTTTCCACTTATTTCCTTCCATTTTCCACCTCAGATCCAAAAACCAAACATAGCATTGTAAAAAGATATAAACCAATCTTCTTCTTAGATTAGCTTAGTATAAACTGTGATATTTTTAGGTGAAATAATAATGAAGCAAATGAGTAAATTCAGACAGATAGACATATAACTAATCAGCAAAAAACAGTTAATAGATTCAAGAAGCTGATAATCGATCTTATTTAGCTAAACAAGTACTACAATCTTCAAGCTAACAAGAAATTCTGGAAAATATATAGAATTGATCAACAGATTGAAATTAAAATTAACAGTTGAGACAGTAACAATAAAAACATCACATTCAAAACCAAAAAAAAAAGAAAAACATTTAACGAATACACTAAAATGAGGTTTTCGCATAGGTTCGGTCAGTTACTCAAACTACTGCATTCTTCAAACGAAATTACCCAATCCGTGCAATTTAGTAGAACACAGTTCAACGAAATCTGAATCATTCCCAGATTATTCAAAAACTAGAACCATAAATTTGAAACCAAAAAGCAGCTGAGCTACGAAATTACCTTCGGAACCTTAGTATAAACCATAGAACCCCGTCGCGTAAACGAAGAATTCGGTTTCCGCTCCTAGAACCAAAATTTGAAGAATCGGTATACAGTAATTTCATTAACAGTAAAAAATTGAAATCCAGAAGAAAAAAGGAAAGCGATTACAATGAGCGACTGGACGAGTGGCACCATCTCCACTAGATCATTGAAGAGCTCGCGGTCGACATTCCCTGTGGCAGAAGCGGAGGCCGCCATGTCGGAGAGCGACGACAGCGTCCGACTTATGTCGTCACCGGTGAGCCATGTCTTAGGATCCGAGGCGAAACCACTGCCATCATGCAAATCCAGCAAATGCTCCTGCTGCTGAGAATCAAACACTCTACTTTCCATGGATCCTCGCTCGATTGCAGTTGCAGCAACGGAATTGGGGATCGGCGGCTTATCTTCTTCTTCTTCTTCTTCCTCTTTTTTTTTTCTTTTTCTTTTTCTTTTTTTTTTCCTAACGGTAAATAAAATAAGTTCAGAAATACCGTAGACAGTATGTGTGGGCTTTCCTTTTAACGTTTAGTTCCGTTTGTTGGTAATTTTGAAGATTTGAAAATGGACGAAAGATTAGTTGAAAATAATAAAAAATTAAATATTGAATTTTGATATTTAAAAAAATAAAAAGTTAATATGATTTTATTTTTTTTTTTTTTAACAGAACTTTGATGAACGGTAACGAAATTTTGAATAAATATTGGCTCTATTTTGGAGTTTTGAAAATTTTATAATACTAAAATTATGTTTTCAATTTTTTAAAAATATTATATCATATGCTTTCATTAAAAAATTTATATTTTTGTTTTTAAAATAAACAAATATAATATATATTTAAAACTTTCCATTTATTTATAAGAAATATATTCCCTCTATCCCAAAATTATAGTCTTGTTTGGGCCGGACACGAAATTTTAAGAATATTAATATTATATTGATATTTGATAAAAAATATGCGTAAAATATTTTTTTTGCTCTTGTGAGTATATTAGTGTAAAAAGTAGTGGCATTTGTGTAATAATAATGAAAAAATAAGAATAATTTTATGGTGATACGAGTATTTATGAAAATAAAACTATTGTTTTGTGACAGACAAAAATGGTAAGCAACTGTAGTGGGACGGAGGGAGTATTATAGATAAATATTATCAAAATTTATAAAAAACTTTTATGTACATTTGGATTTATTCTTCCACAATTCTAAAAAATATATAAATATTTAAAACAATTAATATATTACAAGTATTTATTATTTTTATATTATTTATACTACTCCGTCCCGAAATTAAATATCCATTTGTTTTTTGCACGGTAGTTTTAGAAATATTAGTATTATATTGGGATATAGTATGAATAAAGTAGAAATGACTAAAATAACCTTATTAGTATCTGTGATATATAAATGTAATGATATTTGTGTAATATATTATAAGTTGTAAGGGTATTTGTAATGTTAGGCAGATAGTTGTAAGATTATTTGTAATGCTAGGTAGATAGTGCAGTTACTGAGAAAGGAAATGGATACTTTGTTACGAGAGCGACTAAAATGAAAAAATTGATACTTTGTTATGAGAAGGAGGATGTATTTTTTATATCTCAAATGATAATAAAATTGTGGTTTAAAATTGAATTAAAATTAAATATTATATTTAAATTTTATTTAAATAGTATTTTAATTTGATAGCTTGTTAGATAAAATATTATATTTTTATTAGAAATATACTAAAATGAATAATACTTATTTTTGTTTGGAATCACATAAAAACACATGGTGTGTTTGTCTCTGAGTTTTACTTTTTTTATTTGAATTTTTTAATAATAAAAAGTTAAATTTGAATAGTTATTTGATGTGATATAAATAGATATTGATGTGATGTTTTGAATATAAAATAAATTTATAATATAATATAAATAATAATAATTGTTCGATGTTATATTTTTTTTTTAAAGAAAAAAAAATAATAGTAAAAACTTATGCTAAAACCCATAAAAGAACACAAGTGTTTGGTTCAATTGTTTTAAAGAATTTTTTAAATGAACAGTACAAGAATAAAATTAGATTTTAAAAAACAAATCCTATGCTGAATTTTTCTAATTCAGTAATTTAATTTAATCTCGACCGTTAATTTATTTTGTATGTTTAATCAAGAGTAAATTAGAGGTCAAATTAATATTCGGCAAATCTGAATTATTATATAAATAAGTGTGTAATCAACCTCTCATGTTTACCTTTTGTTTTACAGTAATACGAAAGGTCCGTTTTTTTACCGCAGTTTTTCTAAATTTTATTATTTAAATTTTGTGTTTACAATTTTTTTTATTTCACAAAATATTTTATCAAATATTATTTTTATATCAAAATTAAATCAAATTTTTTTCAAACTCATCAAAAAAAAACACACCCGAAATTGATTTATAATAAAGTATTGATTTGAATATTTATTTAAATTGATTTTAAATAATAAAAGAACAAATGGGCTAAAATAGTCATCTTTCTTTTTGTTTAATAAATTTTGATTACGATAATTTTTTTTTAAAAAAAATTGGGTTAGTTAACTTAATATTTGTAGTAAAATGTAATTTTTAACTATTTTTTATTTGATGTAGTATTGAAATAAAGTATAAAATGTATTTTTTTTAATTTTTAATATTTTATTTATTGAAATTATTTTATTTTCAAAAAGTTTGTAAATCAATATCAATTAAATAAAAAAATGAATTAAATAATTTTAACAATTTAAATACCAATTAACAGTCATAATAATAAAATTTTAATTATAAACAATATATACATCAAATTTATCGAATTTGATTGTCGGTAGGAATAGTTCTATATTACATACCAAATTTATAGCGCATATACCGTACTAAAATTTTTTATATACTATTTTACCGTACTAAGATATTGTACTAATAATTTGGTGTACTCAATTTATAGATGAAAAATACTGAATTACCGAAATAGCGCATACTGTACATAAAAATACCGAAATACCAAATTTCGGTATAACGAACTTTTTCGGTATGGTATCGATATATTTTTTTAATAGACAAAAAAGTTTGGTACGGTATATAATATGGTCCAGTATTATTGATATACCGTATCGAGTTATTTCTAACTGAATTGCATGTATGGTATCAAACTATAATATTTTACGTTAAAATATCGAAATTATAAAAATAAAAATAAAAAAATTATAATTTTTAAAATATTTTAAAAAATTAATTATTTCAGCGTCAATATACTAAATTATCGATATATACCGATATATCGAATACTAAAATCTCATATATGGTATTTATGGTATATAATACCAACAATGATATGCAGTTACCATATTGAAAAAGTTCGGTACAACATTATACTATATAAAAATTTACGATATACAATAATTTTGATATTTTTAGTATTTTTTCATATATATATTACTTTATCAATTTGATATTTTCCACTATTACTTGTGGAATGTATGATGTTAATTTACCTTAATTAGCACAATAACTATATCTAATTTTAAAATATATTATATTATTCTATTTAAAATATATATATTTTTATTTTGTATTGTCTAATTCTAAAATAATTATTTACAAAATACTATGATATACACAAATATTTTTATTTTACTATTACATTATATTTTACACCAAAGGTAAACAATAATTCTTTACACAAATTTTAATTATTTATTTTAATTAAAATACTACTCCATACGTCTCACATATCGTATCTGCTACACTGTATACACGGTATTTTAAGAGTGTATTAGTGAAAATAATTATCCTATAATATAAATAATTATAAATTAATATTAAGATAACTAATTAGTTTAATTAAAATAAAAAAATAAATTAAAAAGTTTAAAATGAGATTAAAGTGTGTAATCATATTCTAAAAAAAAAATGATATGAAAAGTGGGACAGACAGAAACGAAAATGTGGATATGGTATGCGGGACGGAAGGAATATTATTTTTAAAATTAGGTATAAAATAAAAATAAATATACATCTTGACGAAGAAAGCATTAACAAAAAATAAAAAACCGGCCCCTACATTGTTTATTAGGTTAGAATTAGACCAAAAAAATTAAGGCAACAACAACACAATAATAATAATAATTATTGGTTGGTCACTCTGAAGTAAATGCACTCTATAGTTCTATATATTTATGGGTGTGTTTGACTTAGTCGATTTTTTTTTTTAAAAATAAAAAATTATTTTGATGTTATATTTTGTTAAAAGATATTGTAATTTTATACATAAATTCTGTGAAATTGAATGAATGGTATAAATTGAAATATAATTATCAAGATAACACATTAGTCTAATTTCAAAATTTTAATGAATTGCTATTCTTTGTAAAAATAAAATAATTTATTTAAAAAAATATGTATAAAAACTTCTGTTGAAATAAAAATAATTAAAAATAATTTAATACTACTCTCTCTCTCTCTTTCATAATTAGGTATTCATTTGCTTTTTACACAGGATTTTTAAAATATTAATATTATATTAAAACGTAGTATGAATAAAATAGAAATGACTAAAATAATCTTATTAGTATTATATGATATAAAAATAATGACATTTATATAATATATTGTAAGTTGTAAGGGTATTTGTAATATTAAATAAAAAAATAAATACAATAAAAAATAAATATTTTGTTATGGGACGAAAAGTATAATATTTTGTAAGAAAAATTATACATTGTCATGACCTCATGCTGCGGATTCATGCATCACCAAATATGTTTAACATAAATATAAAAAATGTTCAACAAATAATTTTTATATATTTTTTAAAATTTATACATTTGAATATTATATTTATTTACAAATATGCTATAATTATTATACATTCAATTTATCCATTTTTTTTTTAAAAAAAAAAGAAAAGTTGTGGATGGAAGGATTTATCAACTGCTCAATTTTTATTTACGTTCAAAATTATTAAAAAAATTTTTTTTAAAAAAAAATAATAATAATAATAATACTATCACCCCTATGTTTCTAAAATGATACACCAACCAAAATCAGACTGTTACTGTAAGAAAGAAATATCTGTGTATATATATAATTATAAATTTTCATTGGTTAATAAAAACACAACTACAACTGAATATATAAAAATATATTTATACTTATATATAATCGTAAAATTTTGAAAAGGATATTTTATTTTTACTGGGAAAGAAAATTAAGGGATTGATCTCCACCGTCCGTCCACTGGGGCTGACTCCAGTACGCAAGATCAACGGCAGCCGTTAGATCAAACAGCTCCTCATCCTGATCTCCTCCATTTCTTTGTCCAGCTCCTCCGCCGCCGCTGCCGCCTCCCCAATCGAGCGCCGTCAGTCCGACGGCGTGGCTCACATCTGCCGTAATCTCGTGCATCTTTAGCTCTTCCGTCGCCGCGGCCGTCACATTGGCCGGTGAAGGATTATTCGGTCCTGGAGCTTGATTTTCTCTCTGTACCTGCTCGTACGACGTCGTCGGAATGTTGCCTACGCCGAAATCCTCCTCCATCGCAGCGGCGGACGGCGGCGTCGCTTGTAGGTTCACGAAGCGTCCGATCTCGGTCGCGAAGATCCGGCGGTCCGCCGACTGATTCACCGGAAAATCGTAGTTAACGTTTGCGTTGAGGAATCTCGAATCGGAGAAAGTACAAGCTGCGGCTGAGCTCGACGGCGTGTTATTTAAAGCCGAACCGTATTCCGCAGCCGCTAAGGCGGAGGTCGGCGTCGAAATCGCCGTCGTCGTCGCCGCGGTGAGGCTGGAGCTCTCGCTGCTCGAACTCCGCGCGTTCGAGCTACGGTCTCCTGAAGGAGCATCTGCGTCGGTTTTACGCTTGCCGCGCTTAGTTTTCCGGCAGCCTCCTCCTACCGGAACGTTGCGGAGAACGCCGCCTTTGGTCCAGTAACGCCGGCAGCTCTTACAGAAATGGCGCGGCTGAGAGAGGTTGTAGTTGTTATAGTAGCAGAACTTCGTGTTGAACGAGTCGCACCGAGGACACTTCAACGCTGCCACCGCTCCGTGGTGGTTATGCTGCCGCAACCGCCTATCTCCGCCACCGAAAAACCTCCCGCCGCCGCCGCCGCCGACGGCGTGCATGCCTTGCATTCCGCCTGAAAACAGATCAATCCAATTCCAAATCCAATTCTAATTCCAATCAAATCAAAAAATCGCTACAAACCATTGGACATTTCCAAACCCTAAAATTCAAATGAAATTCTCCCCAAATCTCACTGACAAACAAATATCCCTAAAAACGGGTCCTCCACTTTCAAGTATTTCTACGTCTCCACGCGCTGCGAAATGACGCAAATGCCCTCCGGAACCGCCCGGTGACGCTGATCGTCACGTGGGGAAGCGATATTACGACGACACCCCTACGGCCATGCGTGAGGACAGGGGTAAAATAGTCATTCCGTTTCGTGGAGATATTTGCATGGGTGGGGGCAGTCTTCATCTACGGTCCTTGTTCATGCAGGGACACGTGTACGATGGGAAAATCACTGACGGTCTAGGTTGTTCGACGATTCTTTGTTCTATCATCCAATCATTGAGTGTCGAGTGGTTTGAACGCTGCCACGTGGACCAACAACAAATTATAGTGCGCGTGTTTATGTTTTTAGGTTTTCACTATTTAAGTTTTGTTTTGTTTGTTAGTACTACACTCTATTATTATTATTAAATTATTTCTAATAAAATTATAAAGATTAATTATTGTCTTGATTAAGGTAAATGATTTGTTGTGTTATTTAAAAATGTAAATATAATATTTTTTTCGTTCGTCAAATATAGGAACATTTTCTTGGAAGATTTTTTAAATGCTTAAGTATAAATTTTTTTAAATGAACTTAAAAAAATGTCAATATTATTGACATGTTAATAGTTTAATCAATTCTTTTGAACTCGATTCGACTCAACTCAACTCTGGAATATCACAAGTTCCTTTTAGATAATAGATTTGAAAATTTTAGAACTAGTAAAAAGTTATATATTTGATATTAAAATAAAAAATGAAGAATAATAATAAAAATTTTAAAAATATTTATGTGAAAGACATCCATGAATATTATTTATGGTATCTAAGATAAAATAAATTTTGTTGATAAACATTAAAAGAAAAGAAAAAAAAAAACGTAAAATTTAAAAAATATTAATTCAAAACACCATAAATACATGCAAACATGGCTTTAATTTTGTCTTGTAAGAAATGATCTAGTGGCGTAGAGGTTGGACTTGTGACCGTAAAGTCATGGGTTCGCTTAGTGTGACTTTTTCGTCGCGCATTTTTGGGTAGCGGCTTTGGGTTCCCACGTCAAGCATAGAAAAAAAAAAATGGCTTTAATCTCAAGTGTGTTTTTATTTTTTAAGTTAAACATAAATGGGGTGTTCTATGATTTACTTGCCATCCATTTTGTATTGTGTACATTTCAATTTGGCTTATTCATCAACAAGAAAAAATAAAAATGAATAAGATATTTTTAAAATTATTATTTTCACATATGAAATATCAAATTAAATTAATATTTCATTGACCTCGTTAGCTTATTTGAGTATGGAAATTAAAAATATATATATTTTCATACATTTACAATTTCACATCTTTTTTAAAATGATCGATATTATTAATCATATAAAAAATAATATAATTGTTGAATAAGAAAAATCAATGTGCAAAGTTTTTCGAGAATGGATCTGTTAATGACAGTGGGATCCTAAATGAGTCTGAATATAAGCCAAACGGTCCAAGTGTTATTAAGAAATGAGTTTTTTTTTGGAGAAACCTGTGATTAGAATGAAACGGCCGACACAGAGGTCGGTCAACAAAGGAAATCGGGGAAGAAAAATGAGACGGCCGATACGGAGGTTGGACAAAAGAAAGTCGGACGAAGAAAGATAAGACGACCGATACGGAGGTCGAACAAAAGGAAGTTGGGCGAAGAAGGATGAGACGGCCGATAAAGAGGTCGGACAAGATAAGGTCAGACAAAGAAAGCTGAAACGGTCGATACGAGGTCAGACAAGAGGAAAGTGGGCTTTTAGGGCCCATTTGAAAGAAAAGTCTGTTAATTGGTCGCTTAATTAAGCAACATGTTAATTGGCTGATCGATTGGCCGGTCATTTGGTCTTGAAAGGGCGGTCAGTTGGTCGCTTGATCGGGCGACCAATGAACCATCTGAACGAATGGTTGTTCAGCCATTTGAAGGGACTGAATGGGACGAATGGTTGTTCAGCCGTTTGAAAGGACTGGATGGTGGTCGCTTGATTGGACAACCAATGAATCGTCTGGACGAATGGTTGTTCAGCTGTTTGAAGGAACTGAATGGTGGTCGCTCGAGTGGACAACTGATTAGTCATTTAGTCTAACGACCAGTTAGTATCTGGATTGATCGGTTAGTCAATTGTTGGGTTATTCGGTAGGTTCAGTCGGTGGATGGTCCAGACGATTTCTCAGTCGGATAATGATTTATGATCCGTCTGAAAAGGCGACTAGGAGGAGATGTGGGCCCGTCGTTAGGCCCATCAGTTGATTAAGGGGTTCTCAAGGGAGTTGGTTGGCCTGCGGTCCGTCTAGGGAGCCAGGGGTATTGCGGGCGGCATGAGTAGTCAGATGGGTCAGCCGCCCATTTAAGGAGGTAAGGTGTTCAGAGGTTGTCGGTCGAGCCAGTTAAGTCCTGTAATTGGCAGGAGCGGTTAGCGAGACTGTTAAGACACGTGTCAGAAGAAATTAGTGGGCGGTTGATAGCAGTTGCTGTAACCGACCAGACGACGGTTTAGAACATTTCTTTAGGGAATATTTAAAGGATTTGGGTCTATGATGGGAAAGCACCTTCAATAGATGTCAAATTTAGTGAATTGGCTTTGAGGATCACCATTTTACTTTTTCAGTCTGTAATATTTATTTTCCTAGTTTATTTATGTATGATACGGTGTCTAGGATTCTTAAATCTCAGGCATTTTATTTTATTAAATTCGAAGATAATTTCTATTTCGGATTTTACTTTTTATTGTTGAAAATCGGCATCAACAATAATAATATAATAATTTACAATTATTAACTATTAAACGTTATTAGATGTCCGTTACAAAATATTTCAATTATACTGGAACTGAGGGAGGACTTCACATATTTGCTTTTTTTTTTTAAGAATTTTTTTAACACATTTCTCAAAAATAAATTTATATATTACATACAATTATTATTTTTATGCTATTTATATAAATTTTTATATCTCACGATAATTTTATTTTTATTTTTTATTTAAATTTAAATACAAAACAAACACACCGTATATAATTGTAAGTTTGGGTAGTTAATAAGCATTAAGGACAACGGAGACAGGCACATGGCCCTCGTGGGGGACTCCCTTCTTTATCCTAATTCAAAATTATGTTGTGGGTTTTTTGTTTGTTTGTTTTTTTTGTTTTTTGATATAAATATGGTAGGGCAAAAAACTATGACTAATGTTTTTGTAAGTTTTGATACATTATTTTTTAATCTTAATTTTTTAAAGTAATATATTCCCTCTCAATAGAATATTGTAGTAGTATTATTTTAGTTTCTTTACAGTGAATTAAAAAATAAAAATAATGCTCAAATGGTCTTATTTATTTTATACATATTGATATTTGAATATTAATTATTATATCAAAACGTAGTATAAATTAAAAAAATACTTTCATTCGTGTCTTATAATACTATTTGTATAAAAAAATATTTTTATTAGTGTCTTATAGTACTATTTGTATAAAAAAATTATACAAATATAATGATATTTTTAATGTTAAGTACATAAATGTGACCTTAGAGGCAGACGAATAGAGTATATTATTAGTTAAAATAATTTTTATATTTTTATTTTTGTAAAATTTAAAAAATAATATTTTTTTTAAAAATCAATAGTATTTGAATTATTTTTTATTGTAACCGAAAACAAATATTTTGAATAGATGGATAAAAATAGTGAAAAAACAAATGAAACAAAGAAAGTATAATTTTACAAACAATACGTATTTTTATTACACACAATATACGTGTTTTTACGAAAGAAATATTTAAACTATTAATTTATAATTTACAAAAAAAAAAACTGGATAATCCATTGTAATAAGAAAATATATATATATATAATTATTCGTATACATAATAACAATTTTTTCTTTTATAATTTTAATGGTAAAATCAATCTCCCAATAATATAAAAATTTAATTACAATATCACTGCAGCAAAATTTGTACTGTTAACATAGAAAAAAAAAGGAAAAATTATAAAAATAAAAATACCAACTTAATTTACAATTATAATCAATTGAATTTTTATACATTTTCTTTCTTTTTTTGTGTTTTTTCTTCTTCTCTGTATTTGTCATTTCAATTTGACAATTTTGACGAATAATTTTTAGCATCCAACGTCGTGAAAAAAAGATTGGAAATAAATAAAAAATCTAAACAAAATTTGGAAGAATAATCAAACAAACAAAAGTTCAAATCTATCACTCGAACGGAAAAAAGTAGCAACAAATCATTCGGCAATGTTTAGACAGTCTCTTCGGATCCCAACTTTTTATCTGCCCTCTTTTTTTACCATGATGATCCTGTAAATAAATCAAAGAAGACAATATTAGATGTAGTGTAAGTGCATCGATGATAATAATCAATTTGATCAAATAAAAATATAAAATAATAAATTTCGATCTACAGTTTAACCGCATTACCCTTTTCTTACTTTAAGTGCGATAACATGTATATATATATATATATATATAAAAGAAAAATTAGTTTTCCTCCACTAACATTGAAAATCACTAAAAAAAAATAAAAAAATAAAATAAAATATAGTTTAATATAAATTATAATCAATTAAGAATAATGTTTAATAAAATAATTTGGTTTGAGTTTGGTTTGAATTTGAATTATTTTGTAGTTTTGAGAAATTGCGTTCTTTTGAGTTAGTAAGTTTGTTTGACTTTGGGGATTTTAATGTGTATTAATTTGATAGATAAAAGAATAATGATGTAAAATGTATATTAAATTAAATTTATGAAATTAAAAATGGATAATTTGAGTATTAATTTGTGTTAATCATAAATGAATATTTATATTCTTTTCTTATTTAATTGTATTATACTCCATACGTCCCTTAAACAATCTATCTTTTTTTTTTTTTTATTTTGGTCCGTCCCATAACAAAGTGTCAATTTTATTTTATAGTAATTGTACTATCTACCTATCATTACAAATATCCTTCTAATTTATAATATATTACACAGACGCTATTACCTTTGTATCATACAATACTAATAAGGTAATTTAGTCTTTTTTACCTTTATTTATATTTTATCCCAATATAATACTAATATTTCTAAAATTTCGTGCAAAAAGCAAATTCATATATAAATATGGGACTGCGCGAGTATAAAATTTAATTTTTTACAAAATAACTATATATTTTATTAAATTATTATTATTTAAAAAATTAAAAATTATTATAAATACATTTGTACGGCCGTGCAAATATATTCATGAATTGTGTTTATTAAATTTTTTTTTTTAAAAAAAATAAAATAAAGGACACACCCCATTAGATCCAAAGTGCCTTCATTCAAATGTTCATTCACTACTTCAAACCTCCCAAATTTTTATTGAACTGAATCGAATTTTAAAATTTAATTCAAAATTTTTGGATTGGATCGGATTAATCTGCTATAAATTTTAAATTTTTGAATCGATTCAGTTAGATATAATAAACTAATTAATCCAAAAATAGAAATATAATATATATTAATATATTTTATTGTATATATTTAATATTTTCATAAAAGTATAATATTTCAATAAAAATATAAAACTCACAATTATAATTTAATATTTAAAAAAAATAGTACAAAAAGTAATACATTTATCAATTTTAAATATATTATGTAATTTCTAATTTTTTGATTTGGTTCAAATTTTATAATTTTGATTTTGGATTTATTAATTTCAAATTTCAGACTTTTCGATTCATATTAAATTCATATAAAGTAAAGGCAAAAATGTTAAAATTTTTTACACAAAATGTTAATTATTTTTTAATTTAGCATAAAGGTCAAAATGTTATTATTATTTTTATATAAGTTATAGAAATGAATAGACAATATCAAAAATAATATTATATTTTGATTATTTTTTTTAAAAAATAGAATATATATTATTTCCTTCCATTTTATATATCCGACAATATTTTCTATTGTGATATGTTCTAAATACCATACAATATTTCAAAATAAAAAATAATTAATATATTTTATCTCATCACATAATTCAAATAAAATATAAATTGCAATTTTCTTTCTCATCACATTATTTAATTTTCGAAATCTAAATATTACTTGTTATATAAAAACGATGAAGGATATACTAAGTATTAAAAGAACAATATAGAAAAAATATTGGGAAACATATTACTTATTTCTTTAAAAATTATTTTTTATATAGAAAGAATGAAAATGAAAAATCATTTTTAGGAAAAAATCAATAATAATTATGATATAACTAAAATATATTTATTTTGATCACAATATAAAAAATATCAATTTTAATAGTATTATAAACAATTTCAATCTATTCAGACGGTAAGTATCAATTTTTTTATTAATTTTTAAATGAATCAAAATTATTAAATTTGTAAATGAATCAAAATTAATTGACAATAAAACTAAAATTATTAAGTTTTAATCAAAATAAATTGTAATTATATTGATACTAATATTTTTCCCTCAATTTTTTTTTTGGGATCGGACCCTAAATTTTAACATGCCTGAGATTTTATTGATTAATAATTAATTAATTAATGTATTTAATTGTGAATTTGAATGGTAATTTCTGATTCTGCGTTGCAGCAGAGCGGCAATGGATTTCTGGCGTACGGCCCGGAGTTTCGCAGAGGATGCGGCGAAGAAGTCGCAGGCGCTGACGCAGGGACTTGCTGCGGCGAATCTTTCCAATGTCGTATTCGAGGCTTCCAAGCGATCAAAGGAATTGGCCGCTGAGGCGACCAAGAAGTCCAAGGAATTCGCAGCCGAGGCTTTGAAGCGCGCCGATGAGATTGCGGTGCAGATACCTCCTCCGGCGGCGGTGCTGAGCGATCTCGTTGATGTTCAGAAGAGCGATGACGAGGCTGCTGCTGATCCTGAGAAGTTTGGCGTCACGGATGAGTTGAGGCAGTTTGTCCAAGGGATTACGACCGATACGTTTAGGAATTTCCCTGTGGGAGGTATGCTGTCCCATGCTTTCAGTCATGGTTGATTTTAGCTAACTTTACATATACATTCAGTCATACATATATATATATGTATATTGAATTGAGTTGTGTTCATTGATATCAGCGTATGCCTTTGGGAACCAATTACTGATTATGTGAAGTGGATGATTGTCGTTGTTTCTTGAAATGATTGGGACTAATCTGAACGATAATGGTGGAATCTAACCTAGGAGACGAAGCATTGTTGTTCATAACGATTAGCTTATTGAATATAACAGCATCATACAGGAATTGAATGAGTTCAATCTAAGATTAACACTGCTCTTAAGTAGCTCACTTTTACAATTTTTTGCTGCACTAATGGCAAATAATAACACAACTTATCTAACAGAATATATGCATTTCTTCTTGATGGAATACCTAATCATTCTTAAAGGATGTGTTAATTCGAACTTTTCATTTAGTGTCCACACAATTTGACATCTGATGTTTGGGTGCTATCACTTTCTTGGTTTTTTTTTTTTTTTTTTTTTTTTTGTTTTAAAATGTGGGCAGATGATTCAGAGGTAGCTGATATTCCTACGGTGGCAAATGTCCGGCAAGATCTCACTGAATGGCAAGAAAAGCATGCCAAGCTTGTTGTAGCGACCGTGAAGGTTAGCATTAATATTATATCTATGATCAGCCCCTGTTTATGGCCACTTGGAAGCAATTTGGCAGTAAATCAATTTTTCATTTCGCTGGAATTGCAAAGGTAGAGTTGTTCGAATTGGACATTTGTCCCCATCTGAGCAATGATCTTATCGACTCTAATTCCCAAACATTATTTGAGATGAAATCATGAAACATGTAAGGCTAAAATAGATTTTTGCAACCCTTATCTTCATTTCAGTTTGTTGCATTTCAAACTAGGAAATCAAATTTAGCTGCAGGCGCACCAAACCTGTTCTTCAAGTTTATACAAAGAGCTGTGTGAAATGTGCTTTAAAACTCCATTTTCAAACCTTATATATGCTTTTTCTTCCCTCAGGAAATCTCAAAGCTAAGGTATCAGTTATGCCCTCGACTGATGAAAGAAAGAACGTTCTGGAGGGTGTACTTCAATCTCGTTAACAGTTATGTTGCGCCGTAAGTATCATCCTCCCCAAATCAAAGGCTATGGTTTTAGTCTCTTACATGAAGAGTTGCTCATTTTTGTATATAACTTGATTCGGTTTCTTACATAATACTAAAAGATTGTGTTTGAACAGGGGTTGAATATATGTTTTGTGAATGGAATTGTCTATTTTTATACAAATTCGTTAGGATTACATAGTAAAGAAACTGAAAAAATATCTCAAAGAGATCAGAGCCTTTAAGCGTTTAGAGTTTTCAAAATATCGGATTGATGTGGGATTCCTCTTCTTCTATATTTCTCTGTGCAAGTTTATCTTTTCGTATTTTTTAAAATTTTTGGGAATAGTAAAAAATTGAATATTTGATGTGATACTTTTTAAATAAATTACCATTGATGATAGTGCCGAAAATTCCAAAAGTATTTGTAAACAATGGTTTGTTTTACAGTTACGAAAAGCGCTACATGGATGAGGTTAAGCTTCGGGAAGCTACAAAAGCTCAAGTCAATAAAACAAATGAAGTCTCATCGAATATAAGATTTGGAAAAGCAGATGAGAATTCGAAAACATCAAGCAATAACTTGAAGCCAATCTCTTCCGACAAGGATCTGGATGTGTTTCTCCTCGGAGACTTTGATGACAACGATGACAGTCCAGGTACAACATCAGCACCTTAAACTTTCTCATGAGCTGACATTATCCGTTATCCATGTTATTTTAGCACCGATTCGAAATGGTGTTTTTTTTTTTTTTAACCAACTATTATCCATTAACCATTGTTTTAGCATTGATGTAGTTGTCTCAACCCTTACATTGTGTGATTTCTGATTGTCAGATGACGGCAGCTTCGACGACGATTTCTACAAACTATAGCTAAGGTAAGCAATGCTCAATAGCTGTATCTGATCAACCATGGCTCGGTAAGACTCGAACTCGAGGTTGTGCTCATATGTATTCTAAAAAATTGGTTTAATTGAAAATAATTGCTCGATAAGATAATAAATTTATAATTTAATTGAAAAAGACACCGACTAGATAGAAATTTTGAAAAATTTAGAAAAATTCTAGTAACAATAGAAAGTTTTTGTAAGAAGAAGAATGTGATATTTTATTTTATTTTATTTTGTTGAAATTTTGCATAATTGATAAAATTGTTTTTTTATTTTATTTTATTTTTATTATTTCTTATTCTTATTATTAAATCAATCCTTCAGCTCTCGACAAGATTTGCAGCTGTGAAAACTTGGATTGGGTGCAGAGTGTCCATTCTGGTGAGTTTGAAACTAATTGAAATCTATTTTGGGTGTAAATTGGAAATAGTGTGTGAATGAGATTAGGGGTCGAAATAAAATAAGTGGAAAGTCTAGGATGGACTTGGACAAATATTCCTTTTCCGTGATTACCTCTTAATGACAGACAGACAGACATTCATTAGATTTTGTTATATTTTTTTTAATACAGAATATTGTACTTATTCTATCCGGTATAATTATATATCCTTTTGTTTGGATACGAAAAAATATTAATGATATTTTGAGATATGAATATTATAAAATTTTATTAAATAGTAATTAATAAAAAATAAAAAAATAATTTATTATTTATTAGGGTAAAGATAAGAAATTGTTTACACACTGGCAACCAAAAATGAATGGTGAGAGAATTATTTTAATTTAAAATTAACGTACAAAAATATAAGCATGTTAAATGAATAAACGTAGTCAATAATGAAACGACGGAGTTCGGCGCCGTTTTGGGTTTTACTATTATTTAATGCCCACCAAACCACTTCAACTGCATTCGACCCTGTTCATACCGCGGGGCTCTGAAACCGGACCCGTTAGGCTTCACCCGACCCAATTTCCATCCATTTATATATTCAAGAACATAAAACGATAAAAACAGATTTAAAATATTTAATTCGAACATGGGATATCTCACGAGAAATTGTGGGTAGTTATGGTATCATCTCGTATCGCCACGTGTCCAACAACAGCTGTTGAGTCGCTGACACGTCTGACATAAAATAATTCCAGTGGGGTCCATCTGAGCTGGCCCTCATCAATTGGCTGTAAATTTTGTACCAGAAATGATCCCCTGCGAACGACCTCTCCTATCTCTCCCTCTTCCGCTAATCTCAGCCGCACATTTCCCTAACGAGTCGAATGATCAACGGCTCTTCCTAGAAATGACAAGTGGACCTTACTGCAGAGGATCGCGAATTGGGGATGAACATTCGATTAGGGTTAAAAAAAAATAAAAATCAAATCACGCGTCATCGTCAATTTCACATTGATCCAATCGGAAACGAGGAGGGAGGATAGGGACAAGGTAACTCTTTAGATTTTTCACCGTTATTTTCTCGATTTCTGCGGATTCTGCGGCGTTCGCACACACAATTTTCACAATCCACGCGCTCTCGGATGTGTATAATCCATATTTTGTTTTCATTTTTCATTCGATCCAACCGACACGCTTTTTCCTTGCTGTCTCGGCCTCATCCTCCTTCATTTCCTCGCATTCTCTGTTCCTGCCGTCGGTGCGACCTGTAATCCGCTGGATCTCCGGAGAATTTCATTGATACAGACACGATTCTGTTGATTTTCGCCCCCAAAAACCTCGAAACCACTTTTGATCGGGGGTCGATCGAGATCGAGCGCTTCTTAGTTCTGTTACGGCTGTTACTGCGTCGGTTCCGTTCGATTTTCGTCTCGAATGAATGAATCACGGCTTTAAGACATTTTCATCGTCGGCGGTTATCGCGCATTGGATCCCTAAAAGCAGCAATTGCCGGAATTAATTTGGGGATTTGGTAAGGCGGCATTGTGTATGGGGCTGTGGTTGTGATGTGTGCGGCTAAGGTTGGTGAGGAGAGCGGCAACAACCATAAGAGGAGGCGGAGACGCTGGGAAATAATGGGGCTGAAAACGGCGTCGTTTGGAGGGGATAGATTAGAGAAGCTCGGCAATGGCGGTGGAATGGTGTCGAGATCGAGGATGAAGCTGTGGCTGATAAGGGCTATGACTTCGATTCTTTTGTGGACCTGCATAGTTCAGTTAACATCTTTGAGTGAAAGCTGGGGGCCTCGAGTATTGAAGGGTTGGCCTTCTTGTTTTTCGCAAGAATCCGCGGCTGCCGCCGTCATTGCTGATGTTCATTCCTTGCCGGAGCTTCCTGTTAGAGTTCTTCCGCCTAAGAGTGAGGATTAGCTTTGATATACCTTCATACCTTGTTTAGTTTTGGTTGTGCTTTGTGAGTTTTTCCGCCCAAGTGTTTTTGGAATGCGTCAGATTTGAAATTATTTTGGATGGAAATTATTTGTTGAATGTGATGTTTTTTAGAGGAGAAATGATATTTGCGGAAACAATAGTACTTGAAATGTGTCGATTTTGGTATGCATTTTTAGCCAGAAGATTAGTGTTACATTTGTTGATTGTGTTATGTGATTTGTTGTGTTGTTTTGCTGCTGGGAATTGATTATATGTTTGAACTTTTTGCGATTTCGGTAGGGTTTTACAAGAACAACGGGTATCTTATGGTTTCGTGTAATGGAGGGCTTAATCAAATGCGAGCTGCGGTGAGTTGGTTTTGTTCTTCTCGATTATATGATCTTCGTATAACTTAAGATTGGTTGTTTGTTTAAAATTCGTCGAGGCAGTTGTCTGAACTTATCTTTTGTATGTAGATATGCGACATGGTTGCCATAGCGAGAGATCTCAATGTAACGTTGATAGTTCCCGAACTCGACAAGACCTCATTTTGGAACGACCCGAGGTGAGCTGAATGTGAATTAGTGAATCGAAAATTCGAGTGTTCTGAAAATTTGATGGGATTGTTATAACTCTGTGTAGTGAGTTTCAAGACATATTCGACGTGGATCATTTTATTACATCGTTGAGAGACGAAGTACGGATACTCAAGGAGCTTCCTCCGAGGGTCAAGAGGAGAGTCGAGCTCGGGATTGTCTATACAATGGCGCCTATCAGCTGGTCGGACATCTCTTACTATCGCAATCAGGTTAACGATTTTATACCTTGATCAAATGATGTTTCGTTTCGCTTATTTGATCTGTCTGATTCTCGAGTTTACTTATGTTTCTTTTGTGTTACTGGCGCAGATTCTTCCTCTTATTCAGAAACATAAAGTCGTGCATTTGAATCGAACGGATGCCCGTCTTGCAAACAATAACCAGCCTAAGGAAATTCAGAGGCTTCGTTGCAAAGTAAACTTCAGCGCTCTGAAATTTACTCATCAGATTGAAGAATTGGGTCGAAAGGTTATCAGTATATTACGGAGAAAGGGCCCTTTTTTAGTGCTTCATCTACGGTACGAAATGGACATGTTAGCGTTTTCGGGATGCACGCAGGGTTGCAATGCTGAAGAAGCCGATGAGCTAACAAGAATGAGGTAGCAACTTGGTGTGTTTGGTTGGGCGTTTGGATTTTGGTTTGAGATTTGAATATTAAAATTTTTGAATTGAAATAGTTGTACGATGTGATATAAATAGGTATTGACGTAATGTTTTGAATGTAAAATTGATTTTTACTGTAATATAAAAAATAAAAAACAGGTGTTTGATCTGATGTTTAGTACATTTTTGAAGAAATGCTATAAACGAACACACCCTAATCGAAATATTTGCGAATCCGAACCATATATATATATATATGTGTTTTTGGAAAAATAACTTTTCAATTGTTCGCAGATACGCGTACCCGTGGTGGAAGGAGAAGATAATCGACTCGGACATGAAAAGAAAAGAAGGTTTATGTCCGTTGACGCCTGAGGAAACGTCGCTCACATTGCAGGCGCTGGGAATCGATCGGAATATTCAAATCTACATTGCTGCTGGAGAGATATATGGTGGGCAAAGACGACTGTCCCGACTTACGGCATCCTATCCAAATTTGGTAAGAAATACGTAGGGGAGTAATCGAATGTCGAGGTTCCAGTTAACGTCGACTGATTATTGTGATTCTATCGTGATAGGTGAGGAAGGAGACGCTGTTGGAGCCATCGGACCTGCGGTTTTTCCAAAACCACTCGTCTCAAATGGCTGCCCTCGACTATCTCGTCTCGTTGGAGAGCGATATCTTTATCCCCACGTACGATGGTAACATGGCTAAAGTTGTCGAGGGACATCGTAGGTATGCTATTTCTTTTATTTTCCGTAAGTTTACACCTTCGAAAAGACTAAAAAAGAAAATACTCCCTCCGTCTTATATGCATGTATCAGTTTTATTTTTTGCACGTAGATCTTGAAATGTAGCACAATATAAATATAGAAATACAATTTTATCCATAAAATATGGGATAATTTAGTTAAATAATAGTAATATATAAGAATCTTTCTAAGTTAGTGGAGAGTACCATTACTAAAAAGAATCAATATTATTTATTATGAAAAGACAGATACTACTTGTTTGCGTGTTGATATTTAAATATTAATTATTGTATCAATACGTAAGAGAAAATGATAAAAATACATCTATTAGTCTTTTATAATAAAAATACAATGGTATATGTGGAGTAAGTTATACAAATATAGGAATTTTTTTTTAATGTTAAGTACAATGACGACAAATAATGTCCTTTTTATGGGACGGAGGATAGAGGGACTATTAGGCATTTTCGGTATAACCATTTGCTGCGGCTTTTGTTTTCAGATTCCTCGGGTACAAAAAAACCATTCTACTCGACCGAAGGCTGCTAGTCGACTTAATAGACAAGTACAACTCGGGATCGCTCTCTTGGGAAGAATTCTCGACTGCAGTTAAAAGTGCGCACGGCGAACGAATGGGAAAACCATCCAAACGATCGGTGATCCCGGATAGACCTAAAGAAGAGGATTATTTTTACGCCAACCCTCACGAATGTCTGCAACCACAAGAGTACGAACCACTAACCACCATTTAGTTATCGAACGGCCGCTGTAATATTTTGGATAGTTTCGCGCATGAAATCATCTGCAGCTGCGGATGATGGATCGATGGATTGGATTTAAATCCTGACAGTCCTCAAGAAAAGTGGCGCCGTAAAGGATAAATGGTTATAAAGAGGAGGGCTCAAACAAAACGGCGCAAAAGAGGTACTGCAGTAACTAGATTATGCTCCTTCGTTGGTTTTTTTACCCCTCAGAAGTCGATTATTCGTTCTGTGCATAGAATTCACATCCGTTGCCATTCGCGCGGGTTATATATATATATATTATTGACTGGTTTTGCGCCGCGAGTGATGCGATCGCGCAGTTTTCTTATTGCTGGACTATTGATCTTGCGCGGTTTCGATAATTTTAGCCTTGAATCTGTTGATGATCTATTTGAGCTGTTTTTGATTTTTTTGGATATTATGTATCAGTTTTTTTAACTGCCAATTTTTTAGATTTATTGGTGAAGATTATTAACAATGAATCATCTCTATGAATAATGCATTGCTTGTAAGAAGGCTCTCTTTTTGTGTGTGATATCCATTGTTGAATTGCTGTTGCTGTTTTGAGCTATGAACATTCTATTCGTTTTAATTGATTAGAGGGATGTATGTATTGTTCGTCAGGATTTCTGTTTAATTTTTAATTATTTATACTATCCTTGTAAAAAATACATCTATATTCTTTTGATAAAATATACTTCCGTACCTTTTTGGACTTTTTTTAGTAAATTAAAAAATAATATTATTTTATTAATTGGTTATATGTGTAACGATATATTTGTAATTTAAATAAATTTTTTTTGATATTAGTGTAATTTAAATAAAATTATTTATTTTTTTATAAAGATATTTATAAAATTATAAAATCTACCACCAAATATATATATATATAGTTTTCAGCTAAAAACATATTTATCCCTAGTAATATAAAAATAATTATTCTATAATGTATTAGTGAAAATAATTATTCTATAATATAAATAATTATAAATTAAGATTAAGATAAATTAAGATTAAAGTGTGTAATAAAAAAAAAAAGTGACATAGTAGGTGGAACATAGAAACGACAACATGGGACAGAGAAAGTAATTCACTAACACCCCAAAATTAGCATGCAAGTACTTAACAACTTATTACATGAAAACTTCAAAATCAAAAACAGGACATAGCTTCTCAAAAGTCACAATGAAAACCTTACATTTATTATACTACAAAATAAATTAGTTATAATACACAATCAAGGTACAATATATATATATATATATATATATATGATATTTCCAGAGAAATCAGCAAGTAAATTAATTAAGCATATTGAAACAAAAACATAACATAACATGTACACAGTCAATAAAGCAGGCAAATGGCATCATTGATCATAACTTAGAATGCAAATTAATTAACAAATTTAATCTACCAAAGAATAGTAGAGGAGTATGTGTATTACTCTGTACTGTACCCCCTTGCTCATCACCAACTCCTCAGTTTCTTTACCGCCCCCTCGTCGGGATCCTCCACCCCCCGATGGCCAGTTGGAATATCATGTTCCTGTAAAATGATCGAACTTTTATCGCAAATGTATAACATTGTAAAACTTCGCAAAAAAAAAGAAAAGAAAAGGTTAGCAAAATCACAGAACCTTTGATGATGGCGCAGCATTCGCTCGTTTTCCTAGCTTGATTTGCACCGACAGGCTCGCCTGCGATAAGTCCACTCCGGACTTACGTAGTGCTTGTGTTAGAGCCGCGAGCAACCTAAAATATATATATATATATATAGATAAGTTTCTAAGATGAATGGGATCATCAAAATATTTTTATAACAAATTCTTTGTGTCGAAAGATCTTCATACCCTTGGGAGTAGATGCTCGAGAAGTTGATTGTCCCGCTCTCAATATTAAGTTCTTGATCACGATCGCAAAATCTTTCCTCTGCATTGGATACTTGCTTTGAAAAACTTGCAATCTTTGGATGAATTGGTGCTGCATTGCTTGTGTCTGTGCCGGGTTTTTTCTCATCTACCTTCGAAGGGAATACTATGCTGCATTTGGTTTTATCTCCTTGCATTTGGTTGATGAGGCCTTCGGCTATTTGGCGATTCTTCTGGTTAATTCCTGCCTGAATGGATGATAAATGTTCGAGTTAATTATGTTACTTTGATCATGTTTGTTGCCTATTGCAGTAAATGTAATTCTTGATTTTTTACCCAGTCAGTAATCTTTGATTGTTCTTGTGTCCATGTATGGTATGAGCTTTCGTATCGGGTAACTTTCTCTTGTAAAAACTGGATGTACTCGATGACCTCTAGTAAGAACGATGCCTTGTCTCGCTTTTGATCGCTGTTCGGAATTACCTCTCTTAGTTTCAGAAACCTGTGTGACACAAAACATGAGGCTGACTTAGATTATAGTCGAAATAATGCGTTATTCGGGCGATTTTCGTATGCATGAATCACTTGTTAGGAAGCATACTAGTTTCTGAAGTGAATTTTTTCTGTGTTTCTACTTAATTGAGTTTGTCTAATTCAGGTTGGAACCAAAAAAGCCTTATATATATATATATATGCATTTGTAAGATATATCGACAACTCATTATGTATAAATAATCAGGACAAGTTATATGTTTATATAATATAAATACAACACATAACACTAGCTCATATAGCATATACTATAATTGATTTCATTATACAAGATCTACTAATGCAACTAGGGGTTGGCATGGTTTTGAGTATTTACAAATATGCAGGTATTTGATATTCGAATCGAACTGAATAAATACCCGAAATTGCAAATCATGTTCTAATTGAATTTTTGGTTAATAAAAAATATTTGCAAATAATCGAAATTAAAAAAATACATTAAAAAATAATTAAATTCCAATAAAATAAAAATATTTGCAAATATTTGAAATACGTCGAATCGAAACTGAACCGAATATAATTATTAATCTAAATTTTAAGATATAATAATATAAATAGATTCGGTTAACTGAAAAAAAAATATATAAAAAATCGAAATCGAACCGCACAGCACTGAATCGAACAAATATCAAATATACAGTATTGTATTCGAATCGAATTTGTTCGATTAACAAAAAATTCAATTCAATTCAATGCAGTGTTCGGCCATTCAATTCGATTTTTTTGCCCACCCCTAGATGCAGCCAACATATCAAATAGAATTTGACAGGATATACTAATACTTTATGCAACATAATGCATGTTAGTTATGAAATTTTGGACTTGCCTGTCATTGATTTTACTCCGCCTACGTTGCTCTGTGGCCGAGTGTTTGGAGCGCGGCGTGTTTGGTTTCTGCTCGGTTGCTTTTGCTTCAACTTTTACGGACAAATTACCTGTCGAAAGATCGATATTATAAGCAGTGAGTGTATATATAATGTGGAATACAGTGAAAGAAGTTTTAATGAAGGGGGAGAGCATAGGACCTTTTGGGTGAGGTGAAGACTCTTTCTTGATGAGGAACTCATCATCTTCTTCTTCTTCATCGTCGTCGTGGTCATTGTTGCTGGATGCAATCATATCCATGAAACATTGCCCCTTTTGATATGTCGAATGCCTAAAATCATTTAGATGATAATAAAAAAAGGAAAGTGAGAAAAAACCAACAAACTACGAACTGAGAGGATTAACCAAAAAAGAAATCTAAGAATAGATTTGAATGACAGTAACAAATTAAGAGAAAAAAGCCAACTGACTGAGAGGATGAGAAAGAGCTGAAGGATTCATTGACAGCATTGTGATTGGAAGACGATCTGCTATTCTTCATCAATGGCGGACATTGGCCATCCCCTGCATTCAGCAAATTGTTCCAACACAGTTCAGACATAAAAATCCGACATTTATTACAACATATCACTTGTTATATTTACCTTGCAGGGGATGTCTTTCTGCTATATTCTCCTTCCCTGTCTTTCCCGCAGATTCGTCCCACATGAGTGAGAAGCCACTCGCCGGGTAAGAACTGCAATTTGAGTTTTTTTCGATTTCATCGTTCTTGGCGGCAGTGCTGCTCGCCTGTGGCTGTGTGTTTGTAAATAAGCTCCTCTCTGGCTTTAAAGCAGCAGGCCTTTGATTGATGTAACAGATGCTGTATGTCCCAATGCCGCCGGGAAGAATGTGCTCCACCGCCGGCGGCAGCTTTTCCACAGCAGGTATTGCACCTCTGTTTTCTTCTCTTGTTGTTTGATTCTTCCCAACTCTTTCTAGTGGTTGTAAGAAGTCGTGAGTTTTCAGGTAGGCACCTGCCATTCAACATAAAACAGCAACAGAAAAGAACTCAGATTCTGCCTGGAGGTTGTTACAGGTTTTGTTTGCTCAACAAATTTTTAAATTTGTTTTTTAAAAATATCACATCAAATATATATATATTTTAAAAAATATCATATATCTAAATAATAATATTTTACTATATTTATATTTTTAAAACTCTCAAAATTCTCTTAAAAGAAAGTCTAGTACTTACACAGATAGATAAATTATTGATAGCCAATACATATAATTTTAAATAAATAAGCAATACAATCTATACGCTGATATAGTGAAAATAAAGTATATGAATTAAAAACATATGACAATAGTTCAAACAATATATACTCCTATCAATTTAATTGCTAATATAATACTATAATGTTAGTATATATAAACTAATAACACGTGAACAATATATACTATTATTGATTTCAATGCTAATATAATACTATAATGTTAGTATATATAAACTAATAACACGTTATCAATATATACTATTATTGATTTCAATACAAAAGACAGACAACCAGTTAAGTTGATTGTATTATATGTTGTCTTTCAATAATCTATGTATTTGTTTTATATAACAAATAGTATAGTTTTCACTTTTCAAACGACAACATGTACAAAAATCAAATGATAGTGGCGGTTCCTAGTCTCACTCTCCCTTCTTCATCACGCTTTCTTTCTATTAAAGTATAATTATAAGTCCAATGAGTTTGTTGGAAGTTGCTGAACCGCTAATGAGGTCGCCAAGCATTTTTTTTTTTCTTCAAAAAGTAAGAATAGTTTTCAACTGCTTTAAATTCAACCAATGAAAGTAAGGTCACAATTGATCATTGATTCTCCTTCCCTCGCTAAACTAATATTATTATTTATTTATTTTTTTATAATGTGAAAATTTGCAATAGCTATCGACGAGTGTATTATGCTAAAATAACATTATTCATGAACTAAATGATGCAATCACTACAGCTCTGGACAATATTGCTGATACACAGATATGCTATAACAATATTATATCACAGTCACACTGTTAAATTCCCACCACCTAAAGTTAACGTTATTGGGATTCCACAGCAGTTAAATTGATCTAATCTGCAGACAACTCAATAGAAATTCCAAAAAATAAAAATAAAAATAAATACAAATACAGTTCATAGATTTATTCACCTGATGGGATAGATCAAGAAACCACCAAGACAACAACACTCAATCTCAAATGTCGACCAATTTAACCAAAGGGTCTAGCCTAAATCACATTAGCTTAATATATAGTTAAATATTTCTGCTGACTACATCAAATAAATCTTCAAAAATCTGACAATGTCACCCAAGATATTCACTCCATCGGAATGTTTACACTAATTTTCTTTTCAGTGAACAATTAATTTTTTACTATTTTTCTACTTACATATATATACTTTTTAATTCTTTAATAAATTTTCATAATACTTTCATTTTATTTTTATCCATTTTATTTTTATATTAAAATATTAGCATAACAAATACAGACTGAGGAAATATTTATTTTTAGCAAAACCCTTGTTAAGTTAATTAGATTAAGGTGATGCCTAATCGTAGTTAACAGCTATTTCTATTTAAAGACTACCCTTTCCCCATAGAGGTGAGGACGTACAACCATTTTCAAAAAGGAAAAGGTGAGTGAAATGACGAAAAGGGTCATGCGATGTCCTCGCGTGCTAGCTAGGTTCTAACCTCTCTCTTTTGGGATTTAGCAATGTCAGCCTATCCATCCCATGGCCCACCCTCAAAGACAAAGGCCAGATTTAACATACGCCGATCGATGAGGTCACGGTTACAGTCACAGTCACAGTCACGGGTATATTAACTGCGCCAACTCGTGGGATATTTCCCTTCCCCACCACAAAACAATCATGCAAAAATTACCCATCCCAACCCCACCATACAGGTTAAATATAATTATTTGATTATCAGCTAAATTTATAAATTTATTAGATTTAAATATATTTACTAAGTGCAGGACCTTTTATGTACAAAAACTCTATAAATTATTAATTATGTGATAAAGTCAATAAATAATAAAGAATGATTGTGATCCCAATTCATACAAAATATTCATTATTTTTCATATCTGATAGTAAAAATAACGACAAAAACTCTATCAAAAGATATTTTTTCGTAGATTTGAAGAACACAAAATTCTAAATTAATTTGCAGATTTGAATCTGACTACATTACTAATTGAATCAAGTTAGATTCATTTGTTTTATTTTTTTTCATTATTTAAACGCTACATATATTAGGTTAAGGTGAAATTCCTAATAAGTTCCAATAATATATCTTACCTTAATCTCACACAATTTTATTTTATTTTATTTTATTTTATTTTATCTATTTGCTATTTGCCTATTTCATTCAAGTAGTAATAACAACCTTAAAATTTAAGGGAAGGGTTAATTCGATGTCAAGGCGTGTACAGTACAGTTAAATTTAATTATGCAAGTTTTTGTCTGCAAATATGTCAAAATCAAATCAATCATAACGACGTAATGGTGTATTAATGTTAGTTAACTTTTTCGACACTTGCAAATAATCGACCAATCTATTTACGAAAACGTAGAGTGCATTTTGTGTGGCTGCATATCAGTTATCGGTAATTTCGTCAGTTTCAATAGTACTAAGATCGAAATTGGTGATTGTTTTCGTTAATTTATGTGCCTGATCTGATGAGGTTTGAAGAAATTTGGAATTTAGGAGTTTCTTCAGAATTCAGGTTTGGGTATAATCAATGAAAGTTGTGCGCACCTCCTCTAATTTGTTAAGAAAAAACAAAAATAGAAAAGAGAATAATCTGACATGAAAAGTGGTTTAATGCATGAAAGGAGAATAATGGAACACATGTATGTACCTTGTGGTGGTGCTGGATCTTGCTGGACGACATGTGCGGATGATGATGAGTGCAGTGAGAGAAAATCATGGGTAGCCTTTCTACCTGTTCAAGTTCATACGATTCGAGTGAAATATTTAGCTCTTCTGCAATTTTGGTACGGTATATGGTGAGAATACGCGTGACGATGTTCGTGATTTCAATTACCTTCGGTTCCAAAAGGCAACTCCATGAAGATCTCCACGATTTCGATTTTCAATCCGCAGAATTACCAAATTCCTAATCAAATTGAATTCTGGAAAACTTTTGGTGATGGAAATAGAAGGTTTGAGGAATTGAGCTCCGAATCAGATCTGCCTCCAAATACGAAGATCGGAGGCGCATTAGCCGCAGATTCTTCACCAACACAACAAAGGTAATTTGAGATTTATGCTGATTTTCAGTTGTTCTAACAACTCGCTCAACCGCGCAGTGCGAACACTTTCAAATCATCAAAATCAACTCCACCTTCTACAACTTCCTCACCAAATCTGCAAGTCGAAATTCAATTGAAATTAGGCGAAATTCAACTGGAATCTCAAACAAAATTCTCTCGACTTCACGATCGACTTAATTCTCGAAGAAGTTGATAAAAACAGAAAAAGGCAAGGAAGATCCAAAATCCAATAAAAGTCGGAGCAGAAAGAAAAAAACATATATATGTATATATGCGCGCACTGTATCATCACAATTTAGATGCATACTGCATAATTCAGCTCCAGATTCTTCAGAACCACCCACGGAAGCGTGAAATTGAAGTGATCCTAACAGTGACTTCCGCGGGACTGATGGTAGGCCCTTCTGCAATCAACACGATTTCCAAAATCACCCAAAACAATCATAAACATCCAAACTCACACAAAATTTGCTGCAGAGACCACACAGAGATCAAAATTGAGTATATCTGGATTTCTCTCTCCACTTAGTTGCACCAAAACTCTCCTTTCTCTTCTACAACTACATCACATACACATACATACATATATATATGTATAGAGAGAGAAAGAGAGAGATACGTACAGTGGTTTGTTCTTCGTTTTCGTATTGCCGAATAAGTAAATATGAATGGTGGGTTCGTTTGTCTCCGTTACGGAATAACGCCGTTGGTTAACGGCGTTGCGGCGGTGTAGACGGCGTTTGCCTGCTCACCCTGATGGAATATAATTTTGTTAATTATTAAAAAAATAATTTTTGAGATTTTTGGCGATCCCGATTAATACTGTTTATTTATTTAACTGAAACCTAAATCTCGTGGGAATCTGCGCCCATTTAATCATCCCATAATTCAATGTTTTTTTATTCTATTTTTGGGCTTTGTTTATTTTTTAAATTTTTATAGTATTATATCAGATACTCCTAAATTTTTATAATTTTTTTTTTTACAAGTAATTGTACTTTAAAAAGATATAAAAATATCAATAAACATATTAAAAAAATAATAATAATACTCTCTCCGTCCTAATACAATAGTCTTATTTATCATTTTTATTCATTCTAAAACAATAGTTTTATTTCCATAAAAATAACCATATCACCGTAAAACTACCCTATTTTTTCATTTTTATTACATAACTGCCGCTACTTTTTACACTAATACACACAAGAGAAAAAACATCTCTTATCCATACTTTTTACCAACTATCAATATAATATCAATATTCTTTAAATCTCGTGTCCAACCTAATTAAGACTATATTTATGGACGGAGGCAAGACAGTAATACACTTCTTTCATCCCACATATATGCTTATTTTTTTAGTAAAAGAAATTTTTATATTCACAATAATTTATATATTTCAATATTATACTTATTCACAAATATATCACAAATACTTACACATTTAATTTCTCTAAGAAAAAATAATAATCTCACATCGTTAATTCTCTTATATGTTTTTCAAAATATATCTTATGTAACAATCAGTCTGTTGATGTAATTTTTCAACAAAAATAAAGTAAAATTCAAAGATATAGAAAATATCCTTAAACTTGATTAATTAATGCCTGAGATTAGGAATCTCTAAACACTGTATGGTACAGAAAATAAACTGGAAAATAAAAGACTGAAATTTAAAGTGGTGATCCCCAAATCTGACTTTGCTTTGTTGAAGTTGATTGAAGATCCCTTGCCAAATGATGATCCAAATCCTTAAATATTCCCTGGGAAACCGTACTGAAAACCGTCACCCGAACGGTTACAACGTCTCCTTCTCAACCGTCTTCCAACCTTTCTTATGCTGACACGTGTCCCCAGCAGACCAAAAATTCCCTATATTTCACTCCTTGAGCCGACCACAGACCTTCCGCTCTTTTGGCCCGACTGCCAATCTACAATAGTATGGGTCCGACCGCCAATCCTCCCGACTTGCGAACCATCTGGCTTGAGGTCTTTCCGCCTTGAGGACTTCCCGACCTGAAAACCTTCCGACTTGAGGTCTTTCCGCCTTGAGGACTTCCCGACCTGAAAACCTTCCGACTTGAGGTCTTTCCGTCTTGAGGACCTCCCGACCTGAAAACCTTCCGACTTGAGGTCTTTCCGTCTTGAGGACTTCCCGACCTGAAAACCTTCCGACTTGAGGTCCTTCCGTCTTGAGGACCTACCGACCTGAGGTCCGTCCGTCCTAATGACTTTCCGTCTTGAAGACCTACCGACCTGAAGACCTTCCGACCTGAGGTCCTTCCGTCTTGAGGACCTACCGACCTGAGGTCCTTCCGTCCTAATGACTTTCCGTCTTAAGGACCTACTGACCTGAAGACCTTCCGACCTGAGGTCTTTCCGTCCTGAGGACCTACCGACCTGAAGTCCTTCCGTCCTGAGGACCTACCGACCTGAGAACCTTCCGTCCTGTATTTTCCTTAGAAATAAATAAATAAATTTATTTTCCTTGATTTCCTCACGGTGTCCTTCAGCCAGTTCAATCAACCCTATTGCCAGGCCCATTCTTCTTTTTTACCTTGGGCTTTTAACCTAATTCTAAATTTCGTACGTAACAACTTGCCCGCCGCCAAGGGACTTTCAAACGCCATTTAACAATCAATGTTTGGAAGTTCATAAATCACTACCCTCTTGAAAAACTCCCTTAGCAACTGCACCAGTTACTGAAACACGCCTGATAAACTTCCATCTTCGCAATACAAGCCTGTGTGAATCACAATCCCAAAACATTCTAACTATGGCGAATCAATACATGCCTGCCCTTCCTTTCGACGGAACCCTTCCAGAAGGTCCATTTTCAGCCTCGAAAGTACTAACTCCGACGATCCGTCCATATTGCACTACTCCTGAAGATTCAAATCGGATGAGGGAAGTTTTGGAATCTCGCAACGCCTTGGCTATCAACAATCCCAACTACCAAGCAGTTCGCATCCGGGACAGCATCAAGACCCATCTCACAGACCCAAAAGATCTGTATCGCGCTTGGTATCGACGAGTAGCAGAACATTTCCAGACCCAATGGCGTTCCCAAAAAATCGACCAAGCAATATTGCTGTCCACCATGCCTATCAACCTGCATGAGAAGGTGTTATTGGCCATGTCTGCCTTCTGGAATGCGGAAAATGGGACTTTCCTCTTCCCATCAGGCCCCTTTGGCCCAACTCTTATGGACGTGGCCATGATCGCACATCTCCCAGTCGTGGGTGAAGACCCTGTAATGGGAGCCCTAGATGGGCAGGAGCCATCAGAAGACCATCCGGGATGGTCTTTACAAGGTGTGAAGGAATGGGGTTGGACAAAGTTCGCAACCGACCAGCAAGGGGCTCCAGGGACCCCTGTAACCGACCGGGAGCATACTGCCTTTATCCTGTTCTGGCTTTGTAGGTACGTCATTGTTTCCCCTTCCAAAAGTGTCCTTCCTTCTCACCTCGACCTGGCCATTCATATTGCGTCAGGTCGGTTCTTCTCCCTTGGCACCCTATTTTTAGCCAATCTGTTCGAAGGACTCACCAGGGTTAGCCTTCGTTTAACAGATAACGATAATAGGAAATTAGACACTGCCGCGTCGGGTCCTTTTTGGTTTTTAGAACTTTGGTTCCGTCTTTACTTCCCCAACGCGTTTAACTTAGGATCTCCGCCCACTATGCCAACATCTGAAAAACATTTAGGATTAGTCCTCAACCGACTCTGCTCAGGACGCAATAAACTCCAATCGTCCGATCCAATAATAACTGCCATTTTAACAGATACCCGCAGTAACTCTCGATTTTCTATGTATAAAAAATATGCGGGTTATGCTCCCGACCATTTTTGGCCCTTTCCAGTACCAAACCCGCTTCCGACTCCTGAGCCTTGTCCTCATCCCACCTATCCTTTCGCCTGGGACGTCGCCCTCAAACCCAGGTCTCTTTTTAGTAGCAAGAAACTTGATAAAAAAGGGCAGAAAACTTTTTACACTTTTAACTATGAACCTCAATTCATGGCGCGCCAGTTCGGCTGTTGCCAAGGTATCCCTGGACCCGTCGCGTGTCCCCAAATAATTTTTCAAAGTCCCGACCGACGAGTCCTTCCTAAATCAATCCATTCTTATATCTCCCAGCTCACCACGTATATAATTTCCAATTCTTATATTCCTTTCCGCTCCAACCCTGAGATTGTAGATACTTTCAATGAATGGTGGTCGGTTGTATGGTCCCTGATATCCCCTGACGAGGATCGGTTGCTGAACGTACTCCTCCCCCCCCAAGGACTGGTTCTAGGGGCGGCGATACATACTAGCACCCAAAAACAAACAACCCCGGGAATCGGATCTGGGGGTCCCACGCGCAAAAGAAAAACTTCCCAGCTGCAAACACCCCCGACCTCGGAGACCGACCAGCAAACACTAGCAGACCTTGGACTAACTAGGACGTCAGCAAGGACCCGACCCCGAATTGGTAATGTTTCTTAACACCGTGAACCAATTCACTATATCATAACTTTGATTTTACTCATTTCATTCCCCAGAACCGACCTTGGTGACACCGACCACGCAACCGCCGCCAGCACTAACCGACCATTCAATCGGGCCTTTGGTCCAGACCAATTTGCCAATGAGCAGTCGGGCGGAGGACCCGACGCGGAGGCAAACTCCTCCTCCCGTACCGAGGAGTGGTCGGGCCAGGCCCCCGACCAGGAGACAATCTTTACCAACAATGCCTATAGAACCAGTAAGTTCCTTTATCAGCAAGACTTAGGATTCGGATGATCAACCTTAATATATTAAACAACAAACATCTTCATGATTTTTCCACAGACACCTTCACCCAACCCATCAGCAGCAGGGGTCTCTTCTGACAGCGAGGGGACTACTTCCCAGATGGGTCGGCCGCCATACATGGCATCAGACTCATCTATGTCAAAGGAAGAACCAGCCGCCCTCGCCGAAGCTGACCCTCAAAACGACATCCCTGATGCTGCTGATCCCGAAATCGAAGGTGTCCCGGAGATCCTGGCTGCAGTGGCTCTAGATATAGCCGTCCAACCTGCAGCCGCCCTACCAGCAGCGGCGCCCCCCCTAGCCATCGAATGGCAGGCAGAAGAACCACCTGTGGCAGCCCAACCTCCAGAAATGGAAGAAATGTCTTCATCCGATTCGGAGACTTCTGTTAATTTGGTAAGATTAAACCAATCCATGTCATAACTTTTCTTTCGAAAAACACTAACTGTTTCCAATACTACTTTCCATAGGGACCCAGGTCGGCACCTCAGCGACCATTCGCAGCAGCCGACGAGTCGGCTGCTATTATACCAGCTGTCTGCCCTACTCGACCGACCTCATTGCTGCCCCCCTCACTGACAGCAGTCCGCCCAGAGGTAACACATATCTTGTCTGAATAAATTTGCACCTCCCTTGGAATACTTATTGACATTGTAGGACTTGCAGGGGCCTTCGGACTTAGCTGTCCTATCGACTGTTCCGGTTCCAGCGGAGGCCCGAACCATATTCACTGAGGCCATTAACCATCCCCTTTCAGAATTGAGATCCGACTTATTGGACAAACTCATTCAGACGGTTGGCGGCCTTCTTTTTTACACTCCAACGGAATCGCCAGCCGT